CAGAGGGTCAAAGCCATCTGGTGCTGTTCATGTATATTCCAGGACACATAGAGCTGAAGGATTCTGCCACATTTGCTAGAAAAAAGCCTGTCTTGCCAGCGGCTGGAAGCTGTGCACAGAAAGGGTATACCAACTCACTGATAAACTTACTAGGAGTAGGCCAGCTAATTAACCATTCATTGCCTGTGCAACCTAATCAGTGCAGTATAACTGAATGCTTTGTGTTTCCAGCAGTTGCAGACCCTGAAGATCTTGTATAGCTTTTCAATACTCCGAGGAAAAAAGTCTTGGTTTTATAAATAGTGAAGCTATGGACTGATGGTGGGCTTTTCAGGGGTTTTCATGCTTGGCTCACCTTTACTGCCATTTCCAAATCTTCAAACTAAATGCACTGACTGCCAGAAGGCTGGGTTACAGAAACATACAGCCCCTGTCCTCAACTTCTGCTGGAGTGTCCCTGCAAACCACAGACAGGCAAGGCAAGAGCGTTCCTGGGAACCAGGCCTGTCACCACTCAGAGAAGGGCTGTCTTGAAAGCGTTTTGCCTGGATTTCATTCTTTGGTCAGTGTGTATGTTATGATAAGATCTAACTAGGTTAAGACCCAAAGAAGTCAAACCTTGATATGTCTGATTATGTTGAGAACCATGAGTTAAAGTGGGTAGGAGAGAGAAGTGGAAACTGGAACTCCACCAGATATGAAGAACTGATAAATGACTTCCAAGTATTGATGCTGTTTTGAGATGGCTGACAGCTTCAGAAAGAAAAGATTGGGTCAGTGTGTACTTCTTGGAACTTGTAATTTTTTTTTTTTTTTAATTTTTATGGCATGTTGCAACACTGTTGTGTAACTCCTTCAGCCCTTCCCTGTTGATTTCAGGGTTTTGTTCTGCTTGGCTTTGTATATAATTGTGCCTATTAAACTCCATTTGGCTGGTTTTATTCATCAGTTACTGAATATACAATACTTTACCCTTTGCACCCTTCATCTCCGTGCAGTGATGTGTCTTTTCTAAGGAATGAATGATGGTGGTGTGATGCTCTGAAAATAAAACAAATATATACCAACGACTAAAACACCTCATTTGGTGTGAGGAAGGGGTGGGAGACCAACAAAGAAGTAATTGTCAGATGTGTTTGAGAATGCCACCCATGTTAGCAGGGAGATGGAACATTCAGTGGCTTGGCAAGCCTGACAGTGAACTGGGACCCTTGTTGGAGTGCCTGGGTAGCTTGTACCCCAAGGGGGAGGTTGGATTTTTTTCCAGCTTTGGAAAGAGATGTTTGTAAGCATGTAAAACTGTTTGGTGTTTACATTTGTTCATGATTTTGAAGGCAAGCTGTGATTGACAGAGCCTTAGGAATGTACTATGTTAAGATGGACCTCTTCACATGTACGTTTCTAAAGGCAAAGATCTTCAGCTCCAAGACAGGCATATTTTTTTATGCCTATGGCTATCCAGCAAGTCCAGGTGAGGCTGTACTCCGTGACTGCAATCACTGAAGGCTTTCAGTGACACAGGGCAGCCTTTTTTAAAACAAGTTGGTATTTATTAGTCCCCTGGGATGGCACCCAGAGCAAGGTCAAGTTTGTGTTGCCAAATTAAGCTTAAGGTGGAGTCTGTGGGAACTGAAGCAACCACTCTGGATTTCCAAACATGCTGGATGTCCTCTCTGTGTCCCAGTGTGTGAAGCCCTTGCTATGTAGTCCTTGCCACAGCTTCCCAATACCTCAGGGCACCTTTTTCCACAGTTGCAGTACTGCTCTAGTCAGAGTCCTGCCTCCTCCAGCTCCGGATGCTGGTCTTTGGTCACCAAAGTCTTCCAGCACCTCCCCAGTGTGCTCTGATGGCTTAGGGCAGCCCACAATAGTCCTTCCACAGCAAACAAGATATGCATACTTAACTGCTTTCCCAGTATTTTTAAGAAATTAGCTCAGTCATGCCTGCAGGTAGTAAAACGTGTTCTCCTTTATGAACGCCCTGGTCTCCCATGTTGTTCATGTTTGTCTTTCTATCAGACTTGGTGTTGTCCCCTGAAGTGTTTGGCAGTGTGCAGGCACCAGCTTTCGAAGAAGGACAGGCTGGTGAGTTTGTGATCAGTTTTAAGACGTCAGGATGCTCTGAATAATGGCCAGTCTCAGTGCGTGCTGGCAAGCAAGCTTATAGCAACGTGATGGGTTCATGAATCAAAGGGATTTCCTGTGGAGATGAGAATGACTTTATCCCTCTCTTTTGATAGTGGGAACCTCTCCAGCAGGAGCTTTGCTTTTAGACCTTCAGGTCCAGTACGGAAACATGCCTGTCTGAACTTAGTTGGTGTGTCAGGGCATATTTTAGTGGGTATTTTTTTTTGTCTTGCTGGATGAGAGGTACAGACCATAGCCATGTGTGCTGTTGAGATACTGTCATGGTTTAGGCCCAGCTGGCAACTGAGCACCACACAGCAACTTGCTTACTACTCCCCCCTCTGCTCCTTGGGATGAAGAGGAGAAAATATAAGGAAAGGCTTGTGGGTCCAGACAAGGACAGGGAGGGAACACTCACCAGTTATGGTTGGGGCAAAACAGACTCCACCTGTGGAAAAAGAAAAAAATCAATTGGTTCCTAATGAAATCAGAGTAGGACAATGAGAGACAAAACCAGATCTTAAACCATCTTCCCATGCCTCTCTTTTTCCTGGGCTCTGCTCTGCTTTGCTCTCAGTTTCTCTACCTCCCCCCCAACTGTGGTGCATGGGGTGGGGAATGGGGGTTACGGTCAGTCCATTACATGTAATCTCTGCAGCTTCTTCCTCATCAGGGGGAGGACTCCTCACGCTTTTCCCCTGCTCCAGCGTGGGGTCCCTCCCACGGGAGACAGTCCTCCACCAACTTCTCCAACATGAGTCCTTCCCACAGGCTGCATTTCTTCATGAACTGCTCCAGTGTGGGTCCCTTCTGTGGGCTGCCGTCCTTCAGGAGCAGACTGCTCCAGTGCGAGCTTCGCAGGAGTGACGAGCTCTTTGGGCACAAGCCTCCTGCTCTGATGTAGGGTCCCTCCTTGGACCCATGGGCAAATCTCTGCTCCCCTGTGACCCTCCATGGCTGCAGAGGTGCAGCCTGCCCTCTCACCATGGGCTGCAGGGAAGCTCTGCTCCAGCCCGACTCCTCCCTACCTTTCCTCACTGACTTGGGGGTCTGCCTTGTCTCTCTCACATCCCACTCCTCTTTCTGCTGTCTGTTCTCCCTCTTAAATACATTAGCCCAGAGGTGTTACCTGCTACCACCATCACTGGCTGGCTCGGCCTTGGCCACATGTGGGATCCAACTTGGAGCTGGGGGAGCTTCTAGCAGCTTCTCCCAGGGGCCATCACTGTGGCCCTTCCCCTGCTACCAAACCCCCCACCATGGAAGCTCACCACAGATACCTTGTCTGTTGTTTTTGATTGACCTTGACCAGGCTGTAGAGCTGCTGGTTGTTTAGAGCTCACAGACAAAAATAGGCTCCATCAGTTATATATGCAAATGAACATAAATCAGGCTGCTAGGCAGTGCTACAGTTGGATGGGCCCAAGCATCGAAATGGCACGTGTAAATTGAGTCACTACCCTCAAAACCTACCTGTACCTTTGCATAGGGTTGGCGGTGGGGCTGGGTGAATTTAGTCCTGCTGGAAAGAGCTGCAGGGCAAGGGGCGTTATTTGATGGTAGAGCTGAAGGATGGCCAGATGGCAGTTGCTCGTCAACTGTGCCTCCATTGCCAGTAATTATTTTGAGTGATAGGAAGCACATGTTCAGGTAGCTTTTTCCTCCGTTAGCGTACATGTTTAAATAATTGTCACCTTTCTCTTCTATAACATCCATTAGGTATTTTTCTCCTCATTTTCTACTCCCAGACTTAGAAGACAAGCCCTCCTTCCTTTTAAATCCATTTAAGACACTTAGGTTGATTGGTATGCAGTTTCTGGTGCCAAGTACACTAATGTTTTCTGGATGCCCTTGATGTGGGGTATAATTTTCATAGAATGACATGTAACTACCCTTCCTGCTCGTGTCGCAGGCAAGTGGGACTTCCCATACAACTAATCACTGCCATGTAGCTTCCATGGTACAATCTTCCTTCATCCACCTGAAACGTTTGTATTTATTCAGGGAAGAAAAAAAGAACGCCAACTTTGCTTCTGTCTGGCTTGTGGGAATTTTTTTCTTTGGATGTATGGTTCTTCCCACATTTTATGGCAAAAAAAGGACTTCTTTCATGTCCATTTGCAAACTCTGCCTAATGAATAAGATCTGGTTGTTGATGTTGTGAGACTAGTTGTCAAACCTATTTCAGTTGCTTAACATGCTGTAATGATGAAAAGTCAGTTGTGGGTGATCTTTCAGAGGACTGAGTGAATTTTTTACTCTTTTATTCTTCAGTAAGGTATCTCTTTGCTTCCTTTTCATGGTACTTTTTAATTTGTGTCTGACAGTGGTAGTCATAGGTTGATAGGCTCATACTTGTTCCAGGCTTAGCACAGGGGATGTTGTAACACGTGCTTTCATGCATCAAACAATAAAGCGAGGGATGGACGGGTTGATTAGCTTTGTGGATGACTTGTCTTCATTGGACATGAGAACCGTGAAAGGTCAAATATGTTTTGCAGGGTCTGCCAACTTCTGTGTCCTGGCTGATCCCCACCTCAAAACTGAGCGAGAAAACATAAATCTGGCAACTCTGGTTGTTCCTAAGTAACCCGATAGGTTCCGCTGTGTCTGTGAGGCTGTCTGTGTAGACTCACTGTGTTTGGGGGCCTGTCTTTCTCCTATGAATTACAGACCAGGCTTTCAGAAGAGCTCGGCAGTGACATATTTTCAGTTAAACCTGGTGCTTTCCTATTGTAGGAAGTGTTTTAAAACTAAATTGGGGACCAGCGCACCTAGCTGAATGACTTCGTATACAGATTCTCCTAGGCCTGATGTCTGCATGTCACTGTGAGATGAATGCTGTGACTGGAGAGGTTTTCTGCTTTCCTCAGAGCAAATCGGAGCCCTGGCCGGGCAGCACATCGTACATGTGGCCTGCGGAGAGTCTCATAGTGTGGCGCTCAGCGACCAGGGCCAGCTCTTCTCCTGGGGTGCCGGCAGCGATGGACAGTTGGGCCTCACCACTATAGAAGATGCAGTGGCAGTACCAAGGTAAATTTTTAACAGGTTCAGGTTTCCTTAAGGCAGCTTCTTGGAGGTGATGCATCAAGGGTTACTCACCTTCCAGCCTGAAGTCAGTGGGAGTGTTGCTTTCTCTCAGAGGCATTAATTGGGCACTTCTCACTTTCTCACATAGGGTGTAAGAGTGGCTCCTCCTTTTCTGTGCTGCATTGGTGCTCCCTGAGCTCCCCTGGGACTCAGACAAGTCCTCAGGATGTTTGGGCAGGGTAGGCCTTCTGCCCATGGGTGCTCAGGGCACGGAAAAGAAAATTGGAGCACACTCGGCTTCCTCAATGAAAAATGCCACTCTGTTTTGTACAGAGCAAGGAGGTGCACAAGGCAGGACCCAAAAATAGAAATGCTGTGTGTGATGCCCATCTCTATTCTAGTCCCTAGGAAGTCCTCTAAGAGATACATTTCAAGAACAGGAAAAAAAAAAGCGTGGCTACGTGAACTGGCTCTTCAGCTTAACCTTTTTTGCAGTGTTGCTTGCTAGCAGCAAAGGTACTAAACCAGCCTATTGCAAATCAAATAGTGAATGTTGCTCAAAATTTAGGGTAGTGCCCAATTTTCTTCATTTACTTATTTAATACCTTATCTGTGCCAGACCACTAATAGGGTTAAGTGCGAGGACATCTAGATGGTGGCAGTGGCAGACACGGAGACTTCTCCATCCAGAGCAGTTCGCAGATGATAGTCTCAGGTTATCACCATAATAAGATAACTGGTCCCTTTGCATGACACAACACCATGAAGTACAACGTTAATAACAGATGCAGTCTGTCTCTTATTTGGTCTGCCACTGCAGATCCAGTGCAGAGCAGAAGTCTGGGACATCTGTCTGTCTAGGGTGGCTGTCGTTGGTGAAACAATATTTAAAGAAAGAGTTTCTGTCACAGAACATTAATATTTGAGATGAAGGGCTCGGTGGGAAGACAGTCCTTAACTTGCAGGTGGCGCTGCTTTAACAGAGACAGTCTGACTGGCGTGTCAGTGTGATAGTGCCAATTTAAAAGTAACATTTTTGTGAAGTAACTGGAACCTTTGACTTGCTATTCTCAGTACAAAGCACTGGAGAGGTTTTGGTGCCACAACTCATAGGAACTACTAAGCTCCTGAAAGCATGAAAAATGTTGATGCCTGAAGAATAGTGAGAGAGACACCAAGAAGCAGCTATTTTCACCATTGCCAGATGGCTGGATTCAGGATAGCAGGAAACGTAGTTGGAGTTATTAGTCAGGTGACTAAAGGTCTTCACAGATTTGCATCTATTACGTATGGGTCTGTATCACCTTTAAGATGTTGCTCAATCTAAAAACCATAGGTTATGTATATGTGTAGAACAAATATCTGAATGGAATTCATGATTTTGACCTAAGGTGATACTTTATCTGTGAACACATATTCTAAAATGTTGTTGTCTTCTTTAGGTTGATAAAGAAACTGAACCAACAGACAATACTGCAGGTTTCCTGTGGAAATTGGCATTGCCTGGCTTTGGCAGCAGGTACTGTAACATTTATTATTTATTACCAATATTTGTGCTGCCATTGTGCACAGTGTCCAAGATTGCATATTTCTGCATAATAAACCAAGGACATCCCTGTCCCAACTGCTTTCAGGCCAAATGGGAGGCTTTAAAATGGGTCAGGTACCATGAATATTGAAGAAGAGCTTTGCCAGTGCTGTCAAGAAAGGAAACATTACAGACAGGCCACACACTCTCTCACTGGTGAATGATGGCAGGAACACTTAAAAGCTTTCCATCTTGATGGAGAAAAATGTGTGTAATTAATTTATTTGTGTTGAAATTATCCTTGGCTATTACTATTCAGTATGCAACACATGGACTGTTTTTCATTACGCTGTTTAAATCACCCCAGTCTGATGTTGTAATTTGCACTTAGTTGCACGTCTGTTTATTTTCCTGGTGGCTTCAGACTGTGCTTTATTTCAGCAAAGAATGACTTGCTTGACTTTTTTTTTCCCCCACACGTGGAAGCAAAACCCTTGGCACCGGTTCTTGTTCATTTTGAGAAACTTGCTTTTCTGTTGACCGGCTTTTACTTGCCATTCTCGTTCTTTCCTTGTTTCAGATGGCCAGTTCTTCACATGGGGGCAGAACAGCTATGGTCAGTTGGGCTTGGGCAAAGAATGTCCCTCCCAAGCCAGTCCACAACGTGTCAAGTCTCTCGATGGGATCCCTTTGGCTCAGGTTGCTGCAGGTGGAGCCCACAGTTTTGCCCTCTCCCTGTCAGGAGCTGTGTTTGGCTGGGGAAGGAACAGCTCCGGACAGCTGGGACTAAGTGATGAACGAGGTATTGAAATGATGCTCCTAGGTGAAAGAATGATGGACTTTTTTGGCCTAGTGTCTCTTTTCTCATTGACAGTGTATTTTTATTGAGTGGATATGTAACCCTCAGCAACTGCTTTTGGGAGGAGAGGGCAGAGGAACAGTCTCTGATGGACTCTGCAGGTTTTTCATACTTAGTAGAAACAGAAACATTTGTTTTTTCCTCTTGTGAGGGAGGTCAAGAAGAAAGATCTTTCAAATGTGAGTGTTGTGCCCACACGTGGGCATCAAAGCAAGTGCTCGTATTCTTTCTTCCTCTTCTCAAAAATGCGTTGCCCATGTTTTATTTGAAGCTGGTGTGGAGTAGAGGCTCTCCCTGCGGAACAGCAGGCTGAACCCAACACCTTGTTTGCGTACACATTTTGACTGGTGAGCATCAGCATGCTACGTAACGATGGCAACACAGGATATTTCAGTATTATAAAATGTTACCTAGTTTATTTCTTGCACAATTTTCTAGATGCACAGGGTCAATGGTAGTTTTTTTTCAGGTGGTCGTTTTCAGTGAAGCCTAGCCATCAACAGACTTGAAGATAGGTTTATAAATGAGGCTGAAGAGTGTATGAGACATTACCACTAGTCTGAAAAGCTCAGAACTCCCCTGCTTGTTTTTAACACAGTCTTAACTTTTTATTTGCAAAAGCTAGTGAGTGAAAGGTTTTCTTTGGAGCTTCACATCAACCTCCTTATCGTTTTTTACATAGTTGCTGAGTAGCTTTAAATATCTAGGCAGCTTACTGAGTGTGGATGTGATACCTAGCGTGCATAGGTAATTTATTTTGCATGGTATAAATGGTAAAATAGCTTTATTTTGCATAAGTACACAAGGTGTATGTATTTGAAAATGGTATGTTGTGTAATGTAGTAACGTATAAACACTGTATGTTGCAAGAGAAAAGTGTTTCCTCTCATTTTGTGTACTGAAAATGGAATGATGCATTTTGACAACCCACCCTACCAACTGAAACTTACTTAAAGCAATTACTCAAAACCAGCCTCTAGTGTAGCAAAGGAGGTTCATAATTTCATCTGCTTTGCGCTTTTAGAAATATGAAACACAGTTGTCTTGCAGCATATCTTAGGTTCTCTCAAAAACGCTCTAGGTCTATTTTCTGGTACTGTATGTAAGCTAGACCTGATCTAATGTAACAGCAGCCATGTTCTTTCCATGTAAAATGGTATGTAAATTATACTCCTAGATAGATAAATTATACTATAACTTCAACAAAGCTGCAGTTTATATGAGAGGCTTGCTTTGACATGGGGCTAATCTTAAATTAACATGTAAGGGGCATCTGCTTCTGGAGCTGTGTTGGCCAGGGGTCATACTGTGCTTACCCCACAATGCATGGTACTGTAGTAAATACGTGCTATTTATGGTAAGTGAATCATAGTACGACAGTGTGAATTAGACTTTGTGAATATGAACAACAAAATCTACAAAAATGGGTATTCTTCAGCACTATTATTTAAACAATTATGCTGTAGAAGTGCCATTTCTGTCAAAATAAAGATCAGAGTGCTAAAGTACAGAACAAAGTAAATGAAAAATCTGCTCTCATTTCTAAATACATGAAAATGTGACCATTTTCCTTTCACCACCCAGAAAAAAAGCACCTGTCAAATCCTTGGGTGAGAGTATTAAAAAAGGGCAACTTCTGTAGGTAGGAACCTGATTTTATTGTTGGTATGAAGTAAGCAGCTGCTCCTCTTTATCTAACTGTTTTGGGGTGCCTACTGGTCCTGGAAATGCTTAGCTTCAGTTTTATTTTTACATCAGTAAAACATGTAAGCTGGCTCAGCGTATCCGTCCTCGTGAGACCCACTTTTAATGACTCGAATGTCAGAGTGAAGAAGAGCATCATTTAACGGTTGACAGTGATTAGCCTTTGCAACTAGGAGGATCATCTTAAAGGCTGACAACAAAAGGAAGGCTAGGCATTTAAATACACCTTGGGATTCACCTTGGTGTGGGAGACACTAGTGCAACACACGTGTCAGGATTGTTCTGCGTGGAAAAGGTCTAGGCAATGTTTTGGAAACAAACGTTTGCAGTTATGAGTGAGGAGTCTAGAATGGAGCATGGGGCTGAAGGTGGGCGTAGCTAGGCTGCACTGATCATACCTCCCAAACTGCAAGTGCATGTTGAGTTTATACAAGACTCTCAGTAATTGCATTCTTGCTCTGGACAATTTTCTTCGAGCCAGGACAAATCTTTTAAGAATTGGAGGGGGAAAGCAGCAGTAAAGTACTCAAGGACGTCGGTGTTTCTCCCACAGTTGTTAAAGCTTTCTCTGTGCACATAGGCCACATACGAAAAATCAGTCTGTCAGTGGTTTTCTCACATTTATGTTTGTGTTTATGAAACGGCTCCTTTGTCTTCTTCAATGCAGACCGAGAATCCCCTTGTCATGTGAAGCTGTTGCGGTCTCAGAAGGTTGTTTACATCAGCTGTGGAGAGGAACACACAGCAGTTCTGACAAAGGTAAAGATGCTAACCTGGGAACCCTGGCTGCAGTCTCGCCTGCCTGATGGTTTCACATTAGTTTCCTGGGTGATGGTAGAAAAGAACAGATTGACCTACTGTATTCCATCTGAGTCCAGTAAAAAACTAAATAGAAAAGTATAGTCATCTTATAATGTATTCTGAGATTTATTGCCAATGTTATCCATCACTGGTTTTGAAGATGAAGATGTTAATCCATGACAATGAATAGTAAAACTCAGGTGAATTGCTCTAAGAAACTAGCTTTGAGCAAAAACTAACAAACATACATCCAGAGGGGTGAAGATAGCGTTTTGTTGGAAGACAGTGACCTTGTGCATCAGGGTAACATGCAAGTCAAAACCGATGAGTGTTTAAATGAAACATTAGCAGTCACTCACAGCATTTACTAGAGATTTTCAGTTCCAAACCTGCTGTTTCCAAGCAGTGTATAGTTTAGTGGACAGGGGACAGAGGTAGGATTTTGGAAGATCACTGCTTAGTTCTTGCCTTGCCTCTGCCACTTCCTAGGTGTTGCTGCCTTTTGTGTTGCCTCAGTGTCTTCCACTGTAAAATGAATTATACACCTGGCTTTGGGATTCCTGTGAGAGAAACACCATTGTATAAGATTCATTCTGTAGAAGCTGTTGTTCAAAGAAGGTCACAGTCGTTTTGATCAGCAGGTGACAGAGATGGGTGTAAAGTGTTGTGGAAATGGGGCCTACTTGGCCATGTTTAAACCTGTTGGGATTTCAGACTCGTCTGGCGATGGTGGGAGGAAGCTTGTCTGTTGTAGCCATATCTAAAAAAAAATGCTGTTACTCTCTGATGGGTGGCAAGGTGGTTATTTGGAAGCTGCATTAGCAGAACCCAGGTATCTTTTCTGAATCCTTTGGAAATTCTCAGCAGTCTCTGCCTAGGCTTGGGCTTGTGTTGAAACTGGAGTCAGAGACATACTGCTGGGTTATGGGTCCCTAAATGGAGAATGTGCTGTTTGATTTGCTAACAGAGTGGAGGGGTGTTCACGTTCGGTGCAGGTTCCTGTGGGCAACTGGGACATGATTCCATGAATGATGAAGTGAACCCCCGAAGAGTTCTTGAGCTAATGGGCAGTGAAGTATCCCAGATTGCTTGTGGAAGGTGAGTCCTGTGTGCAGTCAGGAATTATCTTTGGTGGAGGTTAGTGCTGACAGTATCTTGTAAACAGGAGAAATAATCTTGCTTCTGCATCTTATGTGTCAAAACTAAGTTAATTTAAATTTTACTTCCCATGAGAATTTTAAGGCCCTCTAAAGGAGGTTGTTTTTTAATTGGTGTTGTTCCCTGTGCTGTAACCTGGTAAAAGATACCCTTTCATCTTAATTCAGCAAGACTTTAGAGCAGCAGCCCCCTTGGTTGCAAGTTTCCAGCCTCTTTCACTAAAAGAGACTTAGTAACACTGGTGCTGTGGTGTTGGCTTTTGGTATGTACAGGTTTAGCAAATGACTAAGCTAATTCTGTCTGTGGACCTGATACCAGCCGTATGCTGGCACAAGCTGCTCTTTGTCACTTCTGCCTAGAGTTCCATCCCATAATCTAGTGCCATCAGGTGGCAAAAACTGAACACTGGTGCTAGTGTAAAGATGCTGCTTTGCACCAGCTTGTGGCCTAGGGGAACTGTGACTAAGTTGTAGGCTGTGTTTGTCTTCTTTTTTTTTTTGCTTTGAATTGTTAAACATGGCCCAAATTCTGTACCCATCTCTGTTACAGACATCACACTTTAGCCTTCGTGCCTTCTTCAGGAATGATCTATGCATTTGGCTGCGGAACAAGAGGCCAGCTGGGAATGGGGCACACTTGCAACGTTAAGTGTCCCTCTCCCGTCAAGGGTCACTGGGCAGCTCACAATGGGCAACTCTCAGGGAAACCTGGTACGTTCTATGCACAGTTTGGAGTCACAAATGGACATAAATAACTCCATTTCACCCATGGCTGTCGAAAGACATTTTGACGTTGTTCTGCAGAAGTTCTTGAAATAGCAAAAGACACCCATCCTCCTGTCCCAAATGCACGATGGGAATTATTGGGTGACCTCTTGCACTCTCTGTTAATGTGCGCCCTCTTCCTTTCTCTTTTCATGGCAGAACTCAATATTTGGTGATCTTGAGCCTTCATGAAATTGGATTAATACTGATCTCCAAGGGCTTTGGTTTCTCTTTAAAATCGCTATTGCAATTTAAAAATTACAACCTTTCACTCCTGCCAGGCCCCATGTATCTTTCAAAGTGCTTGAGTTCAAACTGATTTCAGCCTGACCTTCAAGAGACCCAGGTGCTCCTTGTAGTGTAAAGCCTGAGACGCTGGCACTGCAGATGTGGAGGAAAAGGCACAGTAGGGACTTGCATTGGACAGCCTCTAACATAACCACCTCTCTCTCTTCAACAGACGCCTGTAAATATCACATTGTTAAACATATCTTCTCTGGAGGAGACCAAACATTTGTGCTTTGCTCCAAATATGAGGTAAAACAAATGAATCATCTTCTGAAGTCTGCTCTCCTGTCCCACCTGTCCCAGTGCAGCTTTTGGTTTTGGTGATATCTCCTGAAAATGAAGTGTTGCTTTGGCATCCATTCTGCCTTATGAACCTTGCCAACAATGACAGTTGTTACAGGGATTTGCCTTCCTCTAGAGACATGTCAAAGAGCTGTTTGGAAGACATTGATTTCAGTTTGATCAGCAGGGAGGGGAGTCCAATCTCCTTTGCAGATTGGAAGCGAAGGGCTGCTTTCTTCCCAAGATACTGGGGTCTGTGTGATTAAAGTGTAGGACCGTGGAACACAGACACTGGGGTTTTGTCGAGATATGCTGGATGGAGGGCTGAATGCTGAAGTATTTTTTCTGCTTCTGTCTTCTTATTTCTTTCAAGAAGTGTTTGACACACACTTTTGAGGCATGGAAATAGATTTAGAATTAATGTACTAAGCCTGTAGCTATATATGGTAGTATTTAAGAGGGCTTTAGTACATTTAAGGAAATGATACCTTGTTTTTTTTCTTTTCCTCTTTTAAAAAATGGATTTCACGATGATCTTGGGGTTTTTTCCATGCTTTTCATTTTGGACTTCTTAGTAATGCCACAGCTTCCTCACCAAACCTATTCAGAGACCACACTACAGAAGCTATCAGCTGTATATAGGAAACAGATTATCAATAAGAAGGAACTGTTTTACCAGCCTTGTCTTTGCTGAAATATGTATCTTCTCACAGAATTCCTTGCCTGCTGATGATTTCCGGACCATAAATGAAACACGTTACACCTGTTTAATAAATGATGAAACTATAGATGTCTGGAGGCAAAAGCTTTTAGAAAAGAACAGTTCTAATTCTGTCAAGTAGGTATTGTGGCACTGGACAAGCCTTTTGTTGAAAGTCTTATTTAAATAATTTTGTTGGCTTCCGTGCCATGCTTTCACTTGAAACTTAGCAGCCTTTTCAAGTGCGGTTCTTGGTCGTATCCAAGGGGAGGACAGTTGCCAGTCATGAGGCTGCCAGGTTAGAGCTGCTGAGCAAAACCAGAGGAATTTGATGCTGCCTCAGAACATTGCAAATGGTGGGTGGGAAAGGGATTTTAAAGTTGTCTTTTGTTGTGTGCTTAGAATTCATGAAAAGCAGCAGGAACTTGTGAACAGAGTGATTAAATTCCTTCCCCTGTGTGCTTGCTGTTAGAAGGGCAGAATAGGTGGAAAGCAGGCACTGCTAACATCCCGCCTTTCCAAGAGTGGACATTACATGATCCTGAGTGAACCACTTACCCTCTGTGTCTCTGAAGGGGTGATCCTGACACTGGTTCCCATAGGAGGAAGGGAAGAGAGCTGAAGAGGTTTGCTGGAACATCAGTTCATAACCTCTGTCTCTGTTTCCTTTTGTCTTCCTGCTGCACACAGTAATGTTGTTCAGATACTGTCCTCAGCTGCCTGCTGGAATGGAAGCTTCTTGGAAAAGAAGTAAGTGACAAACGGAGTCTAGAAGTGTGGCTTTCCCTTGGGGCAGACTGGAATCCCTTTGCTTCGCTCACTGATGCAGTGGGATTTGATTTTTTTCTGATCAGACAGGAGATGGGGCAGAGAGTGTCCACTAAAGAGGGGGGTGGTCAGAGCTGGGTAAGGAAGGCAAATGGTCTGAAAGTGCATGGTGAGTGCACTGTAAGCAGCACAGATTCCTTGGAGTTGTCACAACTCTTACTCATTTCATAAAGAAAAATATCAACATCTTTAAAAGAGAGGGATAGGAGTATGATATTAAGAGAAATGAGTGATACCAGGTATCTGAAGAGTCTCTTGCCCAGCTGGGGTGGCTGGTGGTGGCTGCTGTGTTTGGAGGTATACTTCAACACAGGCTGCTCTTGAAAAATAACATGTGGAGCAGCATGGAAGCTGTTAACATGGGGCAGCATGTCCTTTCAGGTGACATCAGTTGTGGGAAGTTTTGTGCTCCTGCTTACAAAAGCAGGAATTTCAGATGGGTGTAACTGACAATAGGTGGAATATGCATAGCTGAGTCAAAGGCTGTGGGTTGGGAAGGATTGTGTTTCCTGTGTCTGTAAATGTTGGGGAGGTAACAGCATAAGATGAGGAGGAGGAAAATTTTTTTTATGGTGCTGTGATGAGTCAATGACCTGTAACTAGGTGAAAAAAAGCTTAGTTGCTCTGAGTAATCCTTGAATAATATTTTCCAAGAGCAACTTCAAAAAGAAAAAAACAATTTACTCATTATTCTTGCATCTCTCTGCTTGTCCAATGGTTTCTTCTTCAGTGTTGTGACAAGGCAGCGTGTTACTACATCAGGAGAGTTGTCATGTTGGTTTAAAATGCTTGTTGAGATATCCAAGTTGTTGAGTCACTGTAAATAGTCCCATGTCTCCTTTGAATGTGGAAATGAGTAGATTTTATTACTTCATCATACTGCACCCCAGTGCAGTTCTCCTTCCACTTTAATGATACCTTGGCTAGTGCAGGACTTAACTTGTACAGAAGATCTTTGACCAAATGAATGATAAATTTTAAAGCCACCATACACTGAAGTGAGGCTTTAGTGTACCTTTGTATGTGAAGCCTTCTGTCCCAGTGTACCTGACAGAAATACAGGAGTATATCCCTCCATATAAGCCTGTTTGCAAGAGAGTGTTGCGGTACCCAGGATTAGACAGAAAAGCAGATTTTCTGTGGCTGTGTGAGTGGGCACACTCCAGTGCTACTTCTGCACATCATAGCCTGGAGCGCTCTGTACCACAGTGACTCTGAGGAGCTACTTCCACCCTGGTGTCTGTGCTGTTACGGAAATAGCCATTCTACTACGGCAGGCTATGTTTAGCTTCTCGTACTGCTATAGCCACACCAGCAAACTGGCAAATGCATTCTTAGTAGCTACCTTTTCCTTCAGAGTGTCTAATACAGCACAGTCTCAGATGAGTAACGACAGACGTGAGAAATCCTCGAGGTCAATGGAGTTGTAGCAATGACCTTTTTCACTAGCAACTGCAAGGTTTTATGTGCAGCTTTACTGCAGACAGTGGTGCTGAGAGCCTCTGCTGCAGATGCTGATCATGCTCTAGATACTGAGCTAGGTAACTCACCTGCTGGCCTGGACATTCAGCATTGCTAGATCTGGCTGTTTAGGCTCTTGTCCTTCGCAGGCTTGCCTTCGTTACCACTCTTACACAGGTAGCCTATACAGCCTTTCAAGCACAGCAGAAAAGGCAGCATGTGTTTGTTGCAACTAAAGACCATGAGAAGGCTGTTCTCACAGCTGTCCTGTGTTTTGATTGTGGTCATTTGTTAGTTCTAGAAAATTTGAATGGAATTGCCAAAAAGCTACTCATTCACAAACCCTCAACTGGTGTTCCCTTGTATAGCAGTCAATGTCATCTTATGCATCACTCTTCTCTTTCTTTCTGGGTGAGATGAAAGCGATTTTGCTCTAACAGTAGTGTATACAAAGACAACACAGATGATACTGATACATGTGTGAGATATTTGTAGGTTTTCAAGCGGTCCAGCCTGTCTAGGCAGGCTCTTAGGTCAGTGAAGGGGTCCTGGGGAAATCAAAGACTTCAGTAAAGTGTTCCTATGTAAGAATCCCAACCCTAACCAAGGCCTAGAGTAGTTCAGGAGGGAGAGTTGTCCAGCTTATCTTTAGAAAGAAGATTCCAACTTCTGCTTTGTTTCTAGTCTGATTAATTCCCTAGAACTGATCGTTTCTCCATTGCTTGTACTCAGGCCATGCCAATACACAGGTAATGGTGGCTCTTCCTTGAACTTAAGCCTGTCTGTCTGGATTTTTTTTCTTTAAGAATCGATGAACATTTTAAAACCAGTCCAAAGATCCCAGGGATTGATCTGAACTCCACCAGAGTGCTGTTTGAGAAGCTGATGAACTCTCAGCACTCCATTCTCCTAGACCAGGTATTACACTTCTGGGATTTTGGGTATTCAGAGGGGAGATAAAGGCTTTGTCTCTCTAACACGCAGCTAAGTAATAGCAGCTTTTTTGAGGAAGGGCTGTATTGTAAATCTGCAGGCCAGAACCTTCATGGTATCAGCGGATACTTCTCCACTGACCTGGGCTGATTTTCACCTTCTCAGAACGTGCCTCTAAGACTTGGTTTTAAATGGCATTTAATACCCAAAATGGCTGCTGAGATTAATTCTGTATATGTTAGACTTGTAAATAATGACTGTGCTCATTTATTGCCTGTCAGGAGTTGAATGCTTTATGTTTGTATAATTTATTCTAACTCAGAGGATTTCTTTCGTGAGTCCAGAGCTGTGAGATAAAATTTGGTTTGTTCCCCATGCCATTTTTAGCTGTAATTTTTACAGTTGGTTTTGGTTTTTTTTTTTTTACTCTGGCATTGACTTTTAAAGCAGGGATGTGACCTTAACAAGAGGGGTAACTAACCTCATTTTGGAAAAATCAGAGTTAAGTCCTGTCCTATGGGGTGTTCTTAAGACTGTCACGTCCACCCATGCTGAGTGTGCTCGATTTCATCAGTTCTTACACATCTACACTGTAGGTGCTCTATTGCCCAGGATAAGTGGCCTTCTTTTGTCTTGTTTTCCTCTAGATACTGAAGAGCTTTGAAAGTTTTCTGATTCCTCAGCTGTCCAGCTCACCACCAGATGTTGAGGCAATGAGGATCTATCTGATTCTCCCTGAATTCCCACCCTTCCAAGACTCAAAGTATTATATCACGTTAACGCTTCCTCTAGCAATGGCTATTCTGCGCCTAGATACCAACCCCAGCAAAGTTCTTGGTAAGAGGCTGGAATTTAAGATGCATGTTGTTCTCAGAATCCAGCTGGGACACAACGTGGTGCCTTTAGGGTTTTCAGTCACATTTTTGTGTTGGTTTAATTTTTCTGTTGCAACGGCTGCAATGATAATTGGGTGTTATTTGTGGTATAGTGTTGTTATGAAGCAGGCACCTCTAAAAAGCAGCTGGGAACCAAAAGCATTCAAGGAATCCTCGCTCCGTAACCTATGTACCCATGTAAAAGAAATCTAAACATAAAATTTGAATTTTAAACATGAACTGTGAGGAGACGAAGAATGTGCCATACAGGTAAGACATGAGAAGTTAGTTACAGTAATGTAAAACATGTAAAATTTATGGTGGCATGGATAATAAATGAGAGAGAAAATTCAGGTTAAAATTGTTTTAATTTGAATTAAAGTATAATTTCAAAGGACACTTACTGCTGAGGTTAATCTAATTTACCTTGTCTAGTTTTCCTAAATTCAGAGACTCAGTTCCAGATAAATTTTCCTGCCTCTCTGTGAACATAGATGAAATGATCTTATTTTCTTAAATTTATCCACATTAGAATATTCTTTTTGTATAAGGTCAGTGAAAGAATATACTAAATATAATATAAAGTTACCTCATCCTATATAACGTGCAGAAAAACCTATTGGCTGATCTGTGACCAAGCTGAACACCCCAGCTCTTCCACTTTTGAACCTTCTTAATTCTGCTATTATTACTTCCTATAAGCTCATTTGGAGCTAAACAGAACATATGCTGCTTAATGATTGTTACTCGTGTTTGTTAAGCTATGACTTTTCTTGTTATCTTACTCTGTTTCTTAAGGTTCTCTTCTACTAACTCTCCCATTATCATGTAAAATACCATGTAATGTGTTCAGGCCTCCAGGAACATTGCTTTAGTGAAATCTATTTTGAGGTGTAGTGATTTTTTAAAAAAAATTTGAAGAGTCTTTGCAACCAAGTTTCCTCCTCTGCTCAGCATATGTAGTCCAGTGTGATTGTGAGCATACAGAAATGTAAAGGATTCTCATGCTTTTGCCTGCCAGAATCTGTTATTGTGCTGACACTTAAGAGGATAATTTGGTGTTTGTTTCTAACAGTTGGCATGATCGTTCCCCAGACTCCAGCTTCTGCTTTGCAGGTGGATTGGTTCTAGCAAAGAAGCTAATAGTCAGGGTCCCTTCAGGGGAGAGGTAAGGGTTCCCTGTCCTTGGCAAGAAAAAAATTGGCCTTTCTAAGGGCGGGGGGTGGGTTCAGACCTGTAGTGCAGATGTGCCAGGTGACACACTCTGACACCTGCTAGAAAAGTATGTGGTACTACGGAGAATTGCCCAAGCAACCTCCTTCTGAACACTCATGAAAGACAACAGTTTGCATGTAAGATCACAGTATATTGAATACAAGATACTTCAAACAACGTCTTGAAGGTGAAAAGCCTTGGATTCAGGCTCTCACACTGATCAGGGATTGGGGCTCGCTGCTGGCTGGGGTGGCTGTATGAGAGCAGAAAGGGAACTGCTTTTCAGTTTCTGGTATCTAGCTGACTCTTTGCTCACTTTCCTGTTGATACAGTGAGAGAATAGGGAAGGTTTTTTAAACATTCATTAGGTGTGTTCCCCTATTTTCAGCTGTAACCCCTTATTTAGGGATTACTCTGGCCTTGAATTCAGGATTTATGTTGATATTCTTCTGCTTTCCAGATAACTGGTGGTCTCAAGTGTGCCCAAGATACTTCCTTAGGCTAGTGGACCTCTATAAAGGCGCAGTGGTTTACCTCCTCAGTGGAAGAAAGACACTGTTGATCCCAGTCCTGTTCAGTAGCTACATTACAGCTGCTCTTAGACTTCTGGAGAAACTCCACAAGGTAAGAGGAAAGCCTGGGTGTGTGTGGTCTCAGGATGATTCAGTCTTGTCTTCCCTTTGCCAGTTGGCAGGGGCATTGTTCACCAAGACACCACGTGGAGAAGATATTAGTGGTTTCCCTGAATTCAAGTTACTGAAGATTGTTTAGCCCTGTCTCAAACCTATGAAAAAATTTGCCCTAAAGGAGGCTGCTGCTGAGCCACCGGACTGCGTGCACTGGGGCATCACAAATACCTCTCTCATGTTGCTTTCTGCTGCTCCCACTGTGTTGGTTCTGAGTGAGCAGGAGGAACTAAAATAAGTCAGAAAGAGGTTTTTGTCTATTCTTCTTGGTTTGTACTGAAATACAAGGGGCGATGTATTTTTTTAAGACTTTCTGGGGCCTGTTGTTGCAAGCTGCTGTAATAGATTTTATGAAAGCAAACCTCTGTGTTCTAAGAAAAATGTAGAATATATCCATATTTTAAAAAAAATAAATCTGTGTTCTTCACTAGGTAAATCAGAAGGTTAAACATGTAGAATATGATAAGTTTTATATCCCTGAGATTTCCAGCTTGGTGGACATTCAGGAGGATTATCTCATGTGGTTCTTACATCAGGCTGGAATGGTAAGAGGTTTTTTGTTTAGTCATGAAATAGGTGTCCATGTTTGTCTCTGATTGTAGAGATGTGTATTTTTATTAGCCTTAATAGGAGTTTAATGTATTCAGTGTAGGAACATCTGTATATTAAGTCTGTCAGATTTGGGCACCCGGTGGCTTGACAAAATTGACTTAAAATGAGGCTGTCAAAAGTGTTGGAGCTAACAATATTTACCCAATGCTTGTAACTATGTCTCATTATTCATGAGACTCTCATTCAGCCCTTGCACAAGGGGATTAATTCAGTCACTGGATCCTTTTAATGTAATCAAGACCTCAGGAGCCAAATCCTGTATTTCCAAAATTATAATTTTTACCCTTTACTTCTTTAAATCTTGCTCAGTAAGAGGAGGCAGTGTGTTGTTCTGGCTAGGGAACTGAACCAAGACTGAAGAGATGTGGGTTCTATTCCTGGCTCTTCCAGTAACCTGCTGGGTGATCATGGGTAAGACCCTTCACCTCTTTCATGCCTCACTTTCCCATCTGTAAGAAAGGACATAACTGAACTGAGTGCTGAAATATGCTGTGTAGGAAGGCAGTAAGGTTATTTAATTATAGCAGAGAAGGGATTCCCAAGTGCGAGAACACCAAAAAACATCTGTCAAGGGATGCTGCAAGAGTAAAACTCTGGTTTTATGGACGTCCTAAATATGGTGTGTGCTGTGTCGCCCATCCCCACTTTTCATCATTTAAATAGTGCTGCTCTGTGCCCACTCTTAGTGAGCAGAGCAATAATAGACTCCAATCTATGTAATGGTGATACTTAAAAATAGCTTAAAATGTATTGATATGGCTAATGAGAGGAGTAATTTGCATTGCAGGGGTGATCTTACGTTGTCATGTTGTAGCCTTATTCTTTCCTGTTTTGCTGTTATGTATAGTCTCTGCCTTGGGGGTAGTTTTCTTCATAAAAGTAAGTTTCACTTATGGCAGGCTAGCACAGGCCTGTGTGCCACTTAGTCCTCTTAGTTATGTTTGTGCAGGTTTTGAATTAGGCTTGTGCCTTTTCTTGGGAAGGAAGTTCCCATGCTTTTCTTTAAGAGGAAAAAACTGGGTTGTTGGTTCCAGAGGAGAAACACTTTCTTTGGGTCACCTTTGAACTAGTCTGTCCAAAAAAAAAAAAACCAGAGACACTCAAAAGAGTACAAGATTTTCATGGTTTTCTTTTTCCTTCACAGAAAGTAAGACCATCTATCATGCAGGTAAGAAAACTGTTTCTCCTTACTCGTACTTAAAGAAATGCTATGGAAGCTGGAAAGAGGAACCAATCTACCTGCCTTTCTTGCAGGATGCTGTGACACTCTGTTCTTATCCTTTCATCTTTGATGCTCAGGCTAAGACCAAGATGTTGCAGACAGATGCAGAACTACAGATGCAGGTAATGCTTCTCTCTCCCAGTTTTCCTGCCCCATTCCCTTTTTTCTGCCTTTTGCATTGGTGCCTGCCAAGAAAAGAGTTCGTTAGGAGTTAGTGTGTACAGCAAGCACTCTGTTTCTGTCATACAGGAGGGCAGAGTAGCTGGAGAACCTCTGTCCTGGGTATTGCAGAGGCAGTGCTTAGTGTCTTTCATTTCAAAATGTTTGGTAATGTCAAAAGTGCCAGATGTGCACGTGGTGGAAATTAAAACTGTATAGGGAAGGAGTGCTTGAGTGTTTGATAATCCGTGTAGAAGAAGTAAGGGGATGTGTAAAGCTGGAGGTGTAAAAGGAGCTGTAAAGCTGGAAAAGTAGACAAGCTTTCAGGTAAGTGGGTTGAAGACGGACTCCTGATCCTGTGGTTGCGAGCAGCAGCTGCTGTCAGCAGCTCACCCACCCATTTGCAGTGAGGGACGCGGACCCGAGGCTCTCCAGGAGCGTGTCCGTTGCGGGTGTTCAGCTCCAGCACCCTTACCCTGTAGGTGGCAGCCGAGCCAGCTCCCAGCCAGGCTGTGACAAGGACAGCTGGCCTTTATGCCGGTGTGAACCTCCCAGCGCCAGGTGTTGCTCATGCAGGTGGCTCCTGGGAGGGACAGAGCATTGGCTGCTCACTGGTCCCTCATCCAGTGCAGCTGGGGTCTAGGGCTAACATTACATCCCATCCTCCTGAAATGAGTTTGCCGAGGTCCTTGGTTGTCAGGTTCTTTGAGGGTGGAAAACTATCTTCAGTTACTCGTGGCCTTGGTGCTGGTTCCATGTAATACCCATCTCTTGGCTTTTCTACGGCCACTTGAACGCATAGCCCGCAGCAAGGCAGCGGAGACTTGGCCTCCTCTCAGAAGCTGGGGTCACCTTCTCCTGCTTTCATTTTGCCACCCTCTTCTGTGTATTTCCAGCTGTCCAGTTTGAGCAGCGAGGAGGGTTTCTACCTTACCTTGGCAGGGCAGCAGGCTGGTAAAGGTTTTATTGCTCTGAGAGATAGGATCTTTATAAAGACTTAAAAGCCAAAGAAACCAGTACTGCTGTGAGTGCTGGAATGGAAGAAGCCTAGTTTACAGTGGATTTCTGTCCCTCGGTCAGCTGACTTTTAGGATGAATTTACAAATGGGAATTTGCTACTAACTGCGCACAATGCATGAAAATGTAAATGTACTATGTGTAGTCAAAGCTTTGACTGGACTTTGTGCCTTTTCCAAAGCCAGAAAATACGTGTAGATGAGGGCGTTGAATTGTATGTGATGGGTTCCCCGGTGCCTTGCCACATACATTTGTCAACCAGCCCCTTGCTTGGTCTGTCAGTAACACTGCTTTCCCTCACAGACTCTCTGACTCTTCTCAGGGTTGTGTTCACACAGAGTTTCTTGACAGAAAAAGAGCATGAACAAAGCCTCTTTTCTCCACTCACCTGCCTAATGTCAGGAAGTGTTCAGGAATTTGTTGCTCAAATTTGGTGACTCGATCAGTGGACTCAAAAAGTATTGATGTGGGAAGTGAGGGGACAGGCATGTGTGCACACACACTTGTACAGAGTGAGTATGTAATCCTTGTACCCTGGGGAAATCGAACTAAACGAGTAAGGAAGGAACACCAGGCATATAGTTGTTAAATGTTTTCCTTCCATAGGAAGAAAAGAGCTGAGCAGTGCTGTTTTTCACTTCTCTCTTATTTGTAGGTTGCCATAAATGGTGCAAATTTGCAGAACGTCTTCATGCTTCTCACCCTGGAGCCTCTGCTGGCCAGAAGCCCTTTCCTGGTACTTCATGTCCGCAGGAGCAACTTAGTCGGTGATGCTTTAAGGGAGTTGAGCATCCATTCAGACATCGATTTGAAAAAGCCCCTTAAAGTAAGTTTTCCCCACAGCTTTTACACCCTGTTATCCAGGTGACATTTCTGCAGCCTCTCAGCCCTTCACATAGTCACTTCAGCAGTGTACAGTGGCTTCTTCATAGGTATAGCACTCAGGGACACGTGATGTGATCAGTGCGGGGGTTGTCTTTCTGCTCTCCCTCTCCTGGAGTATTTTGGCAGTAGACAGTTCACAGGAAGCAGGCAGGGGGTTTACTCTCTTTTCCCGGTCTCTGCTGTAGAAGGGGTTGGGGAGGAGACATTTCTATGGTATTATGCAGTCTCTGTTTTGCTCTTCTGAAGGAACAGGCCACTTAAAATAGGACATGTTTTATCTCTGAGAGGTTGCGACAAAATTCAGCAGCTGCTGTCCTGTTGCTGCTTCTGTTGTTGGGAGGCCAGCTGGTTTCTTATGATTTGCATAAAGAGTTAAACATCTTCCAAACACCTCATTTGCCACCCCCCGTTCCCTTTCCCTCCCTTCCAGGAGAGTACTGAAACAGGCTCGTGGGTCGCAGTGCGCCTGGGCACGTCAGACAAACTGCTTTGTGTGCTCCTAATTAGAAAGGTGTCTGATTCACTTGTTCTCGGCTCTGCATCCCTGTTACTGACCTGCTTTTTCTACAGGTCATCTTTGATGGTGAGGAAGCTGTTGATGCTGGAGGAGTGACAAAGGAATTTTTCCTCCTGTTGTTAAAAGAACTCCTCAACCCCATCTATGGCATGTTCACTTACTACCCAGAGTCAAACCTGCTGTGGTTTTCAGACACGGTAAGCCCTTGCCCTCTATACATGCAGGCTGAGATAATAGGCTGCATTTGAACGACAGAGTCAGTGGCAAACTATGGGAAAGAAACGATCTTCCTCTCGTTTTCCACCCACAGTACAATGTGAGCTCTATTTTCAGTCAGTGTAAATTAGTATAGGTCCATTAATTTTAGAAGAATGGTGATGATTGTGCATGTTAAGGAGCTGGCTCTTCTTATCCCATAATAAAACTTGTATGAAGTATCAGATGACAGTTAATAGAGCTCTTATTATCACAAATGTGATAATCATGTGCTGTTTTACAGAACGAGAGGTTTAGGTGGTAGTGGCATTAGAACTCTCTGCTTCCCTTGCTGTTCACGTAAGTGTAACCAATCCACTTAGTCATGCATCACTGTCACCTTCAGGGTCTGAACTTGTTGGTGCTTTATGTGAGGAAGCTCTTAACCAGTAAGAAACAGAGTTTGTAGTGGAAGTTGGTTGTTTTGGAAGGGTGTGGAATACAAGTTCTGTACCTGCCAGACAGCATTATGCTGGAGGTGGTGGTTTACGTCCTTTTGTCTTCACCTGCCTAGCTAGCAAGATGGAAGGTGATGTTTTCAGTCCTCCCTTAAGGTGTAGCTGCCCTGGTGGGAGTCCTTTTAATTTACTAATTGCATGTTACAAGGAAGGAAATTACACGGTACCTTTTGTAACTTGTTAACAGCATTACAGAGCAATTAGTCCTCATGTTAATGCTGTAAAACCAGCAAGTCTTTTGACACTAGGAGTAGTGACAGTGTGAGCACTGAAAAGGAGTCACGTGTTTACAGCACTTAATGAATATAGGCAGCCAGTCTCTGACTGGTACACCAGTGTGAGGGTAAATACGTGAAGGAGTGAAGGCCAGTATGCCAACACCAGTGTTGGTGTATTTGCCAGGGTGGATGAGTGGTAGGGAGAGAACTGTACCGCAAGGAAATGCGTTAACGCGGGCAGCAACCGTCAAAACGTTGTTAATGTCTAAATGCAGAGGTATGTAAGAAGGCAACAGAAGGCAGATAAGTTGGAAAGCAGCTGTTTCCACAGCTACTCATGGCTTACAAAACCAATAGGGCTTGGTTTCTGAATCTTCACTTTTGTGCCACACTCCAGCAAGGAATTCACAACCAAACTGGGACCTGATGGGGCCTCTCTGGTTTTGTCCCAGTTGGAAAAGCAGGGGCTGGGTTCTTAGTGCGTGGGGGAGAGGCTCCTGTGCACTGGACCCGTGACAGTGTGTCTCATCAGGATTTCTGTGTGTGTCTTGCAGTGTTTTGTGGAACAAAACTGGTTTCACTTGATTGGCATCATATGCGGCCTTGCAATATACAACTTCACAGTGGTAGACCTTCACTTCCCCTTGGCTCTGTACAAAAAACTCTTGAATGTGAAGCCTAGCCTAGAGGATTTGAAGGAGCTGTCCCCTACAGAAGGAAGGTATGAAAAACAACATTTGCAGTCTTTCTGGGAAGGGAGACAATCCATATGAGGATAGGAAATTCCAAACTGGGCAAAAGCTGTTCAATGAAACACCTCCTGATCCTTCTGAGCAGCTGATTAATTTGGGGGGCTGTGATCCTAGGAAAATACATAAGCCAGTGGTGATTTTGATGTAAGACTCTCCCACAAGCCATCAGTTCCATCTGCTTAGACTCTAGCCTCTGTACTCACCTTCCTGACCTCCAGAAATTGGATATCAACACAGCTAAGAGATACCTACCACACCGCTTTGAAAACAGGGGTGGGGGGGCTGCCTCTCTGTTGTGTGATTGCATACATGATCCCAGATCCTCTCCTCGGCCTTTCCCCACAAGCCAGGCTTGGATTAGCAAGGAGATCTGCTGCATGTCTTGTGATGTAGCCCAGAATATGAACTGTCCCATCCCTGAGCCAGTCTAACTCTGACCTGTTCCCATGCCAGACTGGAGTGAAGGCATGACTTTTTCTAAATGGCATATTGAATCTTTCCTGCCTAATTGCGTGGGGATATAGGTTTCCTCTGACACTGAGAGGTCAAGACCTCACTGTCTGACTGCTGACATTGGTTTTTTTGTTTCTTCTGGACTGCTGTCTGATTTATCTGCACAATACTACAACTGTCTGTAACAATAATGAGGTAAAATGCAAGGAAGACAGCAGCAGGATTTTGAGGGACAGAAGAATATTTTCTACATGATGTGGATAAAAATGTTATCCACCACCCTCTCTTCCTCCACTCCCTCAGACCTTTGTGTGGTGGTGGCATAAGCATCTAGCACTCCTTAAGAACCAGAAACGTAACTCTGTTCTAAGGCCAGGGTCATTGAAGGGGGTCCATGTACTAGGTAGGCGTGGACTATATTGATGATTTCTGTGGACTGGCATTTATCCTGCTTCTAACAAAGCATCTGTTTATGTGAGGTGTATTTCTTTCTTAGCCCTTTCAGGTGACTCAGAGGTTCTCTCTTGCAATCCTATTTCCTAGATGTACGATGCTGTTTACTTTTGCTGAATTTCTTTTCCCCTCTAGGGGTATGACTTTTTGAATCTCTGATATTTTTTTCTCATTTCTTTTCCCTTCCTGTCATGTAGGAGTCTTCAGCAACTTTTAGATTACCCTGGGGAAGATGTAGAAGAGACATTCTGCCTGAATTTTACAGTAAGACACGTTTAACATACCAGCTCTGTGAATCCTAGCTGAAGCCAGTCTACTTATTCATGTGTATTATGGTTTATTCCAAACTCTGCCTGTAGCACATACCCTGTGTTACTGTTAAAGATCTTTGCTGTCAACACCCTTGTTCTTTTTGTATGTGATCATGCAAACTGAGCTAGTGAACAGGTTGAGCAGAGTGGTTTTCAAAACAGCCTTGTCGTCACTGTGGGATGTGACTTACACGCCAGTGGCCAACATCTCACACTAGACAGTGAGAGGTAGATTCCTGAATCCTCCTTGAAAATGGCAGTTAGGCTTTGACATCACTATGTCAATTCTTGATGTATTTTGGAATATCAGGAATATCCCTCATCACCTGCAAACATTTAGAACCTCAAATTGATATGGCATCATTATTCTCCCAGCTATGTGGAGAATATTCTCTGACTCGGGCAGGGTAAGAGCTTCCACATTCCGGTGTCTTTGCTTTCAAGTCCTGATGCTCTAACATTAGCGGGTGATGGGTTCATCCTGAGCTTGATCCAGGTTCTTGACTCTCTGTCCAGGACCTGCCTGGGGTAAAAACAAGGTACCAGGAAACTCTGCTACGCCCTGTGAAGAAAGTTCTTGCTGAGTTAGGAGTGTGTTGTCCATTTCCTTGTCTCATGAATGAGAGCACATAAAGCCTCTTGGATCAAACTGACCTCTGGAGTGAGTCAGACCTGGGTCTGACTGTAATGTGCAGGTCAGAGCTGCAGTTCAGGATGGGGTAACAAAGCCATAATGATGATTAAGGCAGACTGTAAAAAATACCTTTGCAGTAACACAATACTTCTCTCTTCACACAAAAGGACATTCTCACTCTCTTTCTTGCACTATATACTGTATGAGATATAAAGACATACAGGTGCACCTGCTAAAACTTTGAAATGAATAAATAACCAATACCCTGAACCTTGAAATTAATAACTCGCCTTGCATGTCAAAATCTGAGCCTCTTGAAAATTGGCCCTTTTGCATTTTCTCCACATGACCAGTTTTGTTTGTACAGACTCTATGTTTGTACTAGTGCCATCCCAGGCCAGGCAAAAGCAGGAAGCTGTCTGTGGCCATGCCATCTTGCAGTGAGAGGGGATGAATTAACCCACTGAGCTTCTATTATGAAAAAGGGTGTTCTTTTTTTGCCAGAACATGTGCATTTAGTTAAATACAGTTTTTTAGTTATTAATCTCTTGTTTATCTTTCATAGGAAATTTACCTAAAAGAATAACTTCTTTCCTTTGAGTTTGCATTTAGGCTTACTAGCAGTCCTACAGCACATGTAAATGGTGAAAGGTGGTGAAGCATGCAGGGCATTTGGAGCAGAGACAAAAATGTGCTGCATATACTGTTTTCTCTGGCCCACCCTTCACGTTTCAGCCATCAGCTGTGAAAGAGAACCCTATGTCTTTCTGCAGCCATATGGCCTGAAAGTTAGTTACTTCTGGTAAAACTGATTTTCTGGTTCTGTGTAGATCTGCAGGGAGAGCTATGGAGTGACAGAGCAGAAGAACCTGATTGAAGATGGAGATAAAATTCTGGTGCAGAAGGACAATAGGTAAGTGGGACATAGGTGGGGCTGGACTTGTGATGAAGTCAGGTGCAATGCCATGGAAAATTTGGCTGAGGTGAAGTGTGGGAGAGAATTAGAAGTCACTGTGGACAGATTCTGAGACCTGTTGTTTAGAAGTTGCTGGATGCCAGTGGCCCTTGAATCAAACCCCAAGTTTTCCTCATCTCTTTACCAATGTTTGGAAGATGTCTCACACCGTTTTGGATGGACATCTTCCTGTTAAAAGGTCTGCATAGACCCTTGGCAGTTTTCTCACGGTAAATCATAGAATCATAGAATGGTTTGGGTTGGAAGGGACCTTAAAGATCACCTAGTTCCAACCCCCCTGCCATGGGCAGGGACACCTTCCACTTGACCAGGTTGCTCAAAGCCACATCCAGCCTGGCCTTGAAGACAGCCAGGGATGGGGCATCCACAACATCTCTGGGCAACTTGTAAATAGAGATTGCAACATGATTTTGGTCCTTGGAGGTAAATCTCCCTGCTGGTGTAGAGAGGAACTGTATGTGACCAACAAAACTGAGCCTGGCAAACTTGTTTGTACTGTTAATTCTGGAGCAGGGAACACTTTCCCATGAGTGTGCCTGGTAGAGGACCACCATCCCTGGTTAGAGCCATAAGGCCCGACTCTATGTAAATTCCTTTCCGTTTGACTGAACACCTGAGAGTTATTACCGGCACAGCTACCATTTCCCCTCCTTTTCTTTTTCCAGTTGCTAAACTATTTTCTTCTCATAATCCAGTAATTGGATTTCTCCAGATGCCTTTATTACTTGAAGCAGCATTCAAATTCTTTCTCCGCTGGCAAAACAGTGTGATCCAGTGACTAGTTAGGGGCTCGAGCTAGGATTGCTGAAGACCTTACTGGCAAGCCTGGAGATGAAGTCATTTCCTATTAATCTGATTATTGAAAAGGGTTCTGATTGTGTCCAAAGCCATTGCTGTAACAACAGCTTTGTCTGTGTTACCTTCTCACCTACTTAACTGCTGCCCAGAAGGGTGCAATTTTACAGCTAAACCCACGTGGAGATGGAGCAGTGCAGGTCTGTCTCCCTGCAAAGAGAAGATGGGCTTCGGGTGAGCAGAGGAGAGTTGAATCTACACCTCTGCCAGTGAAGTAAAGATGAAAATGCCAGTGACAGGACCCTTCAGGTCTCAGGGCTGGGCATGTGCACTCAAAAGCAAACTGGCCATTTTTCTACCCTGTGCTGAACTCGTCTAGGGGGAGGAACAAAAGATTTTAACTGAGCAAATGTTTGGGAAGAGCACCCAGGTTAGCTCTTGCAACTGGTATTGAGTCAGGATAAGCAACAAGAGAAGAAAATCCTGAAGGAGAGAGCCTAGTGTGTAGCTCCACCGGCTTAACGCATTCCAGAATGCAACTGCTTGGTCTTGACCAGAGTTTTGAACTCAAGGTAACCTCTAAATCCAAGTCTAGACATGGCTGTCAATTCATCCACCTTACAGTGCTTAACGACTTCCTCCGCCCTTACGTTTAGAGGCCAGGCACCAATTTGCGGCCCTCCTGGCCTGAATAGTTTGCAGTGTGCATGTCGTAGGGCATGGCCCTCCCTGCCTGAGGAATGTTGACCAGGAACTGAAGAATGCACAGGGTTGTTTTGACTGAAAAATGCTAAGTAGGAAATGCCTGCATTTTCGTAGAATCATAGAATGGTTTGGGTCGGAAGCGACTTTAAAGACCATCCAGTTCCAACCCCCCTGCCATGGGCAGGGACACCCTCCACTAGACCAGGTTGCTCCAAGCCTCATCCAGCCTGGCCTTGAACACTTCCAGGGATGGGGCATCCACAGCTTCTCTGGGCAACCTGTTCCAGTGTCTCACCACCCTCTCCGGGAAGAACTTCTCCCTGATATCCAATCTAAACCTCCCCACTTTCAATTTAAACCCGTTCCCCCTTGTCCTGTCACTACAGGCCCTTCTAAAAAGTCCCCCCCCAGCTTCCTTGTAGGCCCCATTTTCCCTTTCTCCTTTGGAGTTCATATTGGGAGCCACAACATAAAATGTTCTTGATACAGGCTTCATCACCCTGACAGCTGGGGCAGTATTACACAACAGTTAAGTGCTTAATCAGCTTGGATTTCCCTAATGCTCAGGTGACTGTCAGGAAAGTGACAATGAAACAAATGCGCTGGAAAATACCCCCTCCTCAGTACACGATTTCTTTTCTGAGTTTTCATTATTTGTCAGTCTTCTGCCTTATTTTTCTCTTTTATTTCTCACCCATCTCAATACTTTGAGAATTCCTCCACCAAAAGGTCGTAATACTTTCTTCACTTGTGACCTCAGCCAGAGATGGAGCTATCTGGTTCCATGGTGTTCCCTGATCTGCTTATCCTGAGTGCAGGTGTGAGCTGCTCTCAAATGTCAGGCAAAAACGACTCCTCCACCCACAGAGAGTAGTTTTGTGTCCCAGTTTCCCACATTGCCTGTGCTGTGTTAAAAAAAAAAAAAAAAGGTGTTAAAAAAAAACCAAACCCACAGCAACTAAAAGCAAACCAAACCAACCACCCACCCCTCTGCCCAGAAAATCCCGAAGTCGGGGAAATATTTTAAGTCATTGCACAAATAATTCTAGTGTTGCACTCAGATCACGGTGCTCTAAGACTAGGAAAGAGAGAGTAGAGTAAAGCTGCCCAATTCCCTAACAAAATTCAGGGACAGGGTTTGGCCCTGGCCTGCCACAAGTTTCTTGCCAATGGCTGCAGACCGGTGTTCGTGCTGTTCTTGGGAGCCCTTGAGGCGAACCCAGGCTGCCGTTCTGAGAGGAGTCAAACTCTCTTTGCCACCTGCTCCCAGTGCACGAGGCCTGTAGTTATTTCAGCGGAGTGTGAAGGCTGAAGAGGCTCACGTGCCCTCAGAGACCATGTTCTTGCTCTGTAGTGAGGGGTGTTGCTTGGTTTCTTCTGTTGGCTTTCGCTCTGGGGCCAGGAGGGAGGGAATTGCCCACGCAGCTTCAGATCAAGACTTTTCAGAGCAGGGTTTCCTCAGTCTGCCTTTAGGCTACAGCTTTGGCTCTCGAGTTGCTGAACTGCTGGCAAGACTCGTTGGGTACTGAGTCAGCAGAAGCCTCTGAAAATTCGCAGCGTACCTGACTAGGGCCCCGTGAGGCGCTCGGTTTTGGGAGCGGTCGTGTTCTGGGCGGTGTCTGTTTGATGTGGTTCCCTCTCCCCAGCAAAGCGCTGGCTCACGGCAACCCGGCAGCCCGAGGCCGTCGCTGGTGGGGCCTGTGCTGAGTAACTCCTGCCACTGAGAAGGCTGTTTCCTAAACGGAAGGTCGCCGGAGCTGGGCCAAGGGGTGGACATGTTCCTCTGGTGACTGAATCCCAGTAATCACTTTGCCTCTGTGCAGGCCATGGGTTCCGTGGGGAAGAGGGCTCAGTTCCTGACTCCTCCCCAGCACTTCGTGTCACTCTGGCTCTCTCCTGGCCCTGTGGGCAGCTGGATGTGAGGCCGCTGGGTGGGTTTCTTGGTAGTGTAGAGCCTGGGCTGCCACCGCTGGGGAGTAGGCAGAGACGTGGTGGTACTTGCTGTCTAATCCTTTGTATGTGTTGCAGTGACTCAGTGAGAGGGTGGCAGTGGGTTGAACCTGTTGGAGAGTCGTGTTTGCAAGGCAGATTACAGGCAGAAACAGGAAAACTTAGCAGTGCTGCTGCACAGGCACGCGATTAAAAGTGCTTTTCTTTGCCTGCTCTCTCTCGATGCACTAGGGAAGAATTTGTTGAAGCCTACGTAAATTACATCTTCAACCTCTCCATCCATGAGTGGTACACGGCCTTTTCCACTGGCTTCCTGAAAGTGTGTGGTGGGAAAGTCCTGGAACTCTTCCAGCCCACAGAGCTCAGGGCCATGATAGTTGGAAACAATAACTACAACTGGGAGGAATTGGAGGAGGTAAACCTTCCCTCTTGTCGTATTTTTCTTCTTTTTCCCAAATAGCAGGGTTGTGCAGTTGCATGAGGTGGGCACTAGCCTGGGACATGAGACGTGATGAGCCACAGATGTCTCTGTGCTCCTTGTACACATTGCCATCATTCCCGTGAAAAGTTCTTACGGGGGTGTCCTGCCACTGGTGAAGCGCAGGGAGGAAATTCAGGATGACAAAGGACAGGGGAGAAGGACTTCCATCTGCTGTTTGGAGGGATGAAGCCTTAAGACTGAAGGGAAGAGAGACGGCCAGGGTCGTCACCTACAGTAAAACTCCACTGCACAAGGGCAAAAAGAACACAGCCAGGGGTTCGAAGGGGAGTCTGGACGCAAAGGAAGAGTTGTCTCCTCCCCAAATGTATAGATCAGCAAGTTACTTGCTCTGTCTCAGCAGCAAAAGTGACTTTGCAATGCAGAACACATGGTCCTGTTCATGGGTCCGGCCTGGGAATGGGCATTCCAGGATTCCTCATGACACATGTTATTAACTGAACGGCCAGAATCGTGAATCCTGCCTTCCACATATTGCCAAGAGAACCTTTGCTGGGTCTTGGAGCCACGCTGTTGCCCTTGAGCCATCCTGAGCTCCATTTCATAACCGTCAGACATAGATCCTATGTTGGGTACTGGAAAAGATCCGGTGTGGGTTCTGCTTAGTGGTTGCTTTCCAGTGCCAGGTGAAATGATGGGCCTTTCTGCTTTTACACAGAGCGCTGTCTATAAGGGAGACTACACTGCGACACACCCAACTGTGAGAATGTTCTGGGAAACCTTTCATGCATTTCCCTTGGAAAAGAAGAAGAAATTTCTCTGTGAGTAACTTGGAGTGTTTTTCTCTTTTTTTGGTGTTCCTTTTTACCCTCAGAATCGCGGGCTGGTATCTGCAGTGCAGGATCCAGTGCAGTCTCTCACGAGGGAGTGCCGCATCGCTCCGTTTGCATTCCCGAAGGAGTGAATTCACAGCAGATCCCAGTGCCCCTGCTCAGTCCGTTTCCTTCTGCAGGCTGAGCTTTTGGGTGCTGCAGCACTCTTCGGGGCAGTGGGGCATTGGGGGTGACAGCTGAGTGGAGAAGCTGGTGTATAACGTGGCAGGGAAACGAGCCCACATAGAGTGTGACGGGGTAGCAGCTACCTCCCCTCCCAGCAGCGGTCTCCTTGTGCCAGGTGCGACGGGTGGGCTGAGGAGGAAATCTCTGGCAGCAGCGGCCCTGGGAGGTGCACGGCGCTGTGTGTCTGTTGCTTTGTGTCCCAGTCACCCACGGGTCTGAGCTGCTGTGTGGGGGTCACTTTATTTGGGAACAGAAGGAGAATTACATGTGTTTAAGGGCAGGTGGTTGTGAGTTTGTTGCTACAGCCAGCTGCTCCTGCTCCTTTGGGAGTCCTGGTGGACACCAAGTTGACCGTGAGCCAGCAGCGTGCCCCTGCCGCTAACGCTGTCCTGGCTCCGTTACGAGGGGTGTTGCCAGCCGGTCGAGGAGGGTGAACTTCCCCTCTCCCTGGGGTGCTGGGACGAGTTCTGGACTCACCATTGCACGAGAGACATGGACAGACTGGAGAGAGACCAGCGTTGGCTGTTCGGGTGACTGGGGGACCGGAGCATCTGTCCTCTGGGGAAGGGCTGCGAGAGCTGGGACTGCTCAGCCCGGAGAAGGGAAGGATCACAGGAGACTTCATCACTGTGTACAAATACCTGCAGGGAGGGTGCAAAGAGGACGGAGCCAGACTTTTTGGTGGTGTCTGGTGACAGGACCAGAGGCGACGGGCACAGATGGAAACACAGTGGGCTACTTCTGAACACCAGGAAAAGATGCTTCCCTGGTGTGGGGGTCACTTTATTTGGGAACAGAAGGAGAATTACATGTGTTTAAGGGCAGGTGGTTGTGAGTTTGTTGCTACAGCCAGCTGCTCCTGCTCCTTTGGGAGTCCTGGTGGACACCAAGTTGACCGTGAGCCAGCAGCGTGCCCCTGCCGCTAACGCTGTCCTGGCTCCGTTACGAGGGGTGTTGCCAGCCGGTCGAGGAGGGTGAACTTCCCCTCTCCCTGGGGCGCTGGGACGAGTTCTGGACTCACCATTGCACGAGAGACATGGACAGACTGGAGAGAGACCAGCGTTGGCTGTTCGGGTGACTGGGGGACCGGAGCATCTGTCCTCTGGGGAAGGGCTGCGAGAGCTGGGACTGCTCAGCCCGGAGAAGGGAAGGATCACAGGAGACTTCATCACTGTGTACAAATACCTGCAGGGAGGGTGCAAAGAGGACGGAGCCAGACTTTTTGGTGGTGTCTGGTGACAGGACCAGAGGCGACGGGCACAGATGGAAACACAGTGGGCTACTTCTGAACACCAGGAAAAGCTGCTTCCCTGTGAGGGTGACAGAGCGCTGGCACAGCTGCCCAGAGAGGTGGTGGAGTCTCCGTCCTTGGAGATAGTCCCAAGCTGGGCATAGCCCCGGGCAGCCTGCTCTAGGTGGCCCTGCTTAAGCAGGGGGTTGGCCCAGAGGACCTCCCGAGGTCGCTTTGACCTCAGCCACTCTGGTTCTTCGGCTGCTGGAAAGGCCGGTGGTTTTACGTGAGGGGAACCCTCACCCCAAAGAACGGAGCAGTCAACTAGTTGTCTTGCTTGTTGGAGTTGGGAAAAGTGGCTCAGCCAGAACGTGCACACTGAAGTTAGCAGCTGTGTAGGATGGGGCCCGTGAGTCCTGGTTCACAGCAGAGGCTTCTGTGGGTAACTCCTCCCCCCTCCCCAAACCGCGACGGCAGGGACTGCACAGGGCTCATGCTCAGGGAGCAGCAAGGAGGAACTAATCCTGGTCCTGGCATCTTGGTGCTGTGCCTGGGAGGGGTGGCAGCAGGGAGGGTGGCTGGGCCCCTTCTGCCTCTCCCCGCTGTGGGGATCGGGCAGCCCTGGCTTTGCTCCCTTTATCCTGCCCGGGCTAAGAGGGAAGGGGGTGCTGTTGTCACTGTAGGCTCACCTCTGCACCCAGAAAGGGCCTTGCTTCTTGCCTCCTGCAGCTCCTCTGCTCACCCAGCTGTGCCCTGCCCGGGCAGCGTGCCGGCCCTTCGGGGCAGGAACGGGGTTTGCCTTCAGGCGCCAGGCCGCCGCCCCGACGGTCCAACCTTCCCTCTGCTTCTCCTAGTGTTTCTGACGGGCAGTGACCGCATCCCCATCTACGGCATGTCCAGCCTGCGCATCGTCATCCAGTCCACGGCCAGCGGGGAGCAGTACCTGCCGGTGGCGCACACCTGCTACAACCTCCTGGACCTGCCCAAGTACAGCAGCAAGGAGGTCCTCAGCGCCCGCCTCGTGCAGGCCATCGACCACTACGAGGGCTTCAGCTTAGCTTGACCCCCGCGGGGGAGACGCTCGGGTGCGGAGGACGCAAGGGATGGGCTTGGCGTCATCCTTGTAAGGGGTTAGCACATTTCTGGGGGGGGAAGCAGAATGAATCCTAACGGACTGAGCTGCTGCTGCCTCAGCCCGACGCTGCCAGCCGTTGGTGGGGCTTCGGCGGGGAGAGGCTACTGCTCGCAGTTTTCTCATCTACTGAACAAAGTAGTTTCAGTCGGCATTTTTCTTGTTTCCCCTCCCACTCAACATCACTGCCCTCCCCCCTCCCCCAGCAATTCCCTGTAGTTTGCTTTGATCACCCCATGCACACACTTCCCTCTCCTTTTAGTCCCGTTTAAGTATGTTGATGTCCCTTGCATCCAGGCTGTGGTGGAGGACGAAACAGCCATCTCCTTTTTAAAAGCTGTGATTGCCCCATGACCCCTTTTTTTTTTTCCCTTTCTCCTCCCTTTTTAAACGCAAGCTGGTTCTTGCTTGCTTTGAATGGAAGTATCCCCCCTGCCCTTTGGTCCTCGGCGGATGGTACTGGGATGTCGCCTGTGACCCCCCACGGCAGTGTGCTGGTGACGGTACGGGCTGTCTTTTTGCACCGGGATGTCTCATGGAGTGTACGACGGTTGTGGGGGTGGGTGGGCTTGTTTTTCCTCACCTGTCTCATTTTATTTCCAAGTAATGTCATCCCGAAGAAGCCTCAGACTCCTCTGGAGCGGGTTTTTGTGGAAGGACAAACCCTGCCTATAATGACGGGTTTCCCCAACAGCATCGCACGCATCGTGTTTCTGTTGTGGCAAGTCTACGGGTTAAGGAGGGGGAGGCTGTGCCAAGCCTGGTGTTTCCACCCCAGCAGTCCTGTTATTCCAGCACAAGGCGAGGTGGCTGCAGCCTTGCTCCAGGGGGCTCGTGGGAATGTGCACGCACACGTGGTGTACGCGCTCTCCGGTCTCACCGGGTCAGGGAAGGGAAATAAGCAGGAGACCCACGTTTGGGTGACAACTCTCCTTCTGGAGATTTGGGTTTATTTTTGCAGTTAGGTTTCCTTTATTTTGCTGTTTGCCTGGAGCCCTTTCACCCGACAGCTGTTCTGCTGGGGGGCCCTAAAGGACGATCCGTATGAATTAGACTAGAAACATGTACACCAGGGCTTGAGCAGGCAAAATCGTTACCTACACGTGTGAGTGACAGCACCGCCCCACCCCCAATTTTACCAGTTGTGATGTAAATCGCATTTTAAGCCCAGGGTGGTGGCGACATCAACTTGCCCTGAGGACGTAGTATTTCCACAGAGCGTTCAATACTGAACTTTGCACCTCGCAAGGAATGGTTTTAGGCTTCTGGGTTTTTTTTAAGATGGGCTGCGGGCCACGCCGAGAGCCCTCCAGCCTCTTTCTAACGCAGCATTGAAGACAAATATACAGTTATATCAAATGTTTATTTTCGATGTGTGTGTACATAGTACAGTATTATGCAATAAATTTGATGTTTAAATTCTGTCCGAGCAGCTGCCTTTGTGTCGGGAGCCAAGGAGGGGCTGCTGCGGGCACCAGCTCTCGCTGCACCTCTGAGGGTGCTGCTTGCCTCGGCCTTGGCCCCGCGGCTGGCGAGCACCCCAGCCCGTCCCCGCCTCACTCCCGTCTCACTCCTGTGGGTTGAACGCTGCCTCCCCCTTCCTGCCCCGGGCTGGTCTGCTGCACTGGCTGCTGATGGAAAGCGGGGCAGAGGCAGCCCCAGCGCACTTCAAACTCCTCCGGCTCTGCCCACGGAGAGACATCTGCCCAGCCGAAGTCAGGCACGTCCTCTGCGGCAGCGCTGGGAATCGAGACCAGCCCTGGGCTTGTCCATCCCTATCCCGTGTTTCCCCTCCTTTCCTGCCTGCTTGCAGGCAGCCAGCGGGGCACGCAGTGGTTCCCTTCCTCACGGCATTGAAGGCCAACAAGGTGCAGGTAACACCCTCCCCAGGACAAGGTCCCTGGTGGGTCCCAGCACCCTCTGCTACATCAGACTAGCCTCAGAGCTGTTTCTTCATTAAATAATGGCAAGTAAGTAATAAATGAGGCAGAGATGCTCCCTGGGGTGCCAGGGTCTGTTGCCCAGCCCTTAACCCAAAGTGGAGCTGGAGGGGGGATGCTCAGCACCCCCTTGTCAGCTGCAGCCAGCACGGACGTGGCCTCGCGGTGCCCGCCCAGCTCCAGGGGCCAGCAGCAGTGCGCACACACATGGGTGACTCGCAGGAATGTCCGTCCCGTGGGCTTACGGCTTCAACTTCCCCGAGCTGATGGAGGAAGGGAGCTGCCCTCCATCCTCTCCCTGGGCAGGTAAGCATGCAGCGCCCAGGTAGGATTGAGGAGGTACCATGTACACACAGAGGTGTGTCTCTCTATATATGAACAAAAATAAACATATACGGAGATGGTTGCAATATAATTTGTAATTAGTATTACTCATGGTACCGCACCTGTTTAATTATACCTACAAATAAACCGTACCAACCTATCGAGGCACTTGTGCCCTGTCAGCGGGATGGGTGAGCTGCAGCGTCCCACCTCAGCCAGGGCAACAACCGCCGGGGCATAGGAGAGCAGGTACACGGTGGTGGCTGAAGAACTGTCTGTCAGAAAGTTTAAGAAGAAGGTAAAACACTTCACTGCCTCATGGAACAGACAACGCCTCGTAACAGCTTCCTTTTCTTGTTCTACAGCAAAGCTACCAAACGTACACGCGAGGTCTGTCGATAAACCCCGCCTGCCCCTCAGCCCCCCTCGCTGGCGTCCTGCAGCCCCTGCTGCTCCCCTCTGAGGCGGCCGACGCAGGCTGCCAGCAGCACCAAAACCGATGAAGCTGGACCCTACAGCGGGCAGGCTCTGCCCTGCTCACCCCCCTTCTGCCACCTGTGGGTCACCCTGGGCTTTCTCGGCCACTGACACCAGTGCAAAACGTGCATCGCTGACCACGGCGGTCCTGCTCTTCCCAAGCGGTGAGGAAGAGGCGGAGTGTGTCACAGCCTGCTGAGGCTGGGCTAAGGACGGACACGCTGAGGTGCAGCTGAGCGCTACCAATGGTGACACTTGTCCTCAGCAGGGCCAGGATTTCCCCCGCTGCACCTACGGAGCGCAAGGATCTCCCTCGCCAACACCGAAACAACACACAAAGCAACTGCTCACCGGCTGCAAAATGGTAAACAGGGAGTGCGGCCACTGGGATAAGGGTCCTTCTGCCCTTCAGGAATACGGCAGCACCCAGAGATAGGAAAGGGAGCCACCACTTCCACCGAGTTGCCCACACTCGGGGTCAACGAGTGCACCACTCCCTGCAGTTTCCGACTGCAAAGTTCCTTTTCCATCTGCACAGGAACAAGCAAAGTCCCAGCCTCTGCCGTGACTCTGAGAAATGAGCCTGGACCCAAACTCCCTCCCCAACAACCAGAAGTCCTTGGATCCCTTCCCCAAGAGATGGGAAACAGAAGCCGTGAATAGGCCGAAGAACGTGCTGCTGCCCAACTCCGCACCCTGTACGCACACCGAGCCCCAGCGGGTCTCGCCGCGACAAAACCCAAAGCCCCTGGCCACTGTGCGGCTGCCACCAGCCAGGGCAACGGCCCAGCCCCGGGACGGCCCCACGAACAGGGCACCCTGGGGACAGCTGCCAGCTACAGCCCGGCTCCTGCCTCCAAGTGCTGTTGAACCACCAATTTACACCTCGGAAGAGGACCAGGAAGCCCCTCAGGCTGGAGGACACCTGGCAGCACTCACCGTCTGCAACTTGCATGTACGGGGAATAACGACGACGTCTTAGCAGAACGATTAAAAGCCAAGATGCCTTAATGTCACTGCCTTTGACATAAACACCCCGTGACTGTTTACTTAGGAGTAAACAGAATAAAACCAAGTGCAACTTGTAAGAATAAGTTTTTCCTCTCTCTTTAACTCTCGCAACCTTATTTTGCCCGCAACCCATGTGTCGTCGCCGTTCAAACGGACCCCCGTGATTCACTGTACCACAACGAGGTAACGCACCCATGCGCGTGTCTGAAGCAGCCCCGGTGGGCAGGAGGCCTGACAGGCTGTACTGCCGTCCGCCAGCAGCCACTCTGCCCCAGTGACCTGGCAAGAGGTTGTCTAGCAGCTTATTTACATCACAGAAAGCAGGTTTTGGTACAGCGCGGCCCACCTTCGAAAAGCGGGGTCTTGCATTTAGTGTTCTCCAGTCAAGTCATCGACGCTGGCACTGGCTCGCGTTGACTCAGGAGTGTGGCAGGGTACAGACAGAATTTCGGGCTATTTGTGGTTAGGGGGAAGTCAGAGCATCTGTGGGAGATACAAAGACAACATTCTACTGCCTGACATTTTTCCAAGCCTGTGCGGGCTTGGAAGAGGGGAGTCGCAGCATCTGCAAACCCAGGACAGGAAGTGGAGCGTTTGTACGTGTATTTCTAAGACCGGAATTTTAAAATTCACTTCTCCACGATGGTTTTTCCCAGCAGTTCCCTTTGCCACGAGGCAGATGACAGTTCTTTTCTTTTTTGCTGCGGGGAAAGACTTGAAAAGAGCCGTTTAAAAAGAGAGATGGCTAGGTGTAGATTTTTTTTTTCTTTTAATGTACAATCTCAGTTAACAGGTTTCGTTACTTTTAGCTTTCAAAGTTCAAAAATATAAACTCTCTAAAGTGCATAATTGTACTTACATTTCATATAAACTATCTGAAATTCTAGCAATATACCATGTAAACAGCGGTAACTAAGCATCAGAAAATGCTACAATCTCATCACTTGAAAAATAAAATGGACTGTTCCCTACGTATCACTTATCAAGATTTGTCGGGGCAAAACCCAGCAAAACAGATAATTTATCAGTACACAGTGCAAACAGGCTTTTAAAAATAAGCAGAGAAAACAGACCCCGGGGAAGCCTTGGCCCACTGGAAAAGATGTGTGACTGTGAAGGAACGGCAGAAACGGCTTCTCCTGTCCATATAACGATGTCAGACCCAGAGTCAGCGAAGCACCCAAGCTCCAGTCCACCCCCATTCAGCAAGGTCGCCAAGCCCCAGGTCAGCACGCAAGCCCTCCGGACTCTTTGGAAACGCAGCCTTCAGCCTTCCCTGGTTTTATACAGAAGGGGCAATCCTGCAATCAGTAAAACCCAGAAAAACCTGGGAGCCTCCCCCCAAGCCCCTTCACTACCTCACGCACATCACTGCCTCTCCCATCCAGGCCATTCGGGCACGTGCAAACCCGCAGGGAAAGGCTGCCTTTTGACGTGGTTATGGGATCCGGAAGAGACCGAACACCCTCAGCATCAGTTCTGGCAAGAATTAACAGTGGAAGGGGTAAGTCCAAGTACCACAAGCCTAAATGTATCTATTTGTGAGCCCACTCGCCCATACAAAGAGGGAAGGGGGAGGAGGTGTTCGGGGAGGTCTCTTCTTGCCTCCTCCGGGCGTGACTCGTGCGAGGCTGGGCACTGCATTTCATCTCAGCCCCTCGGCTTCTGCACACCAGCTCCCCGGGGATCACCGCGGCAGAAAGCATCACAGAAGCGCTCTCCCTGGGGCATCAGGGTCGAGCCCTGGCTGGGGCAGAGCGAGCTGGTGCACACAAAGCCTCTGGAGCGGGAGAGCGAGGCCGGCTGGTCTGCGACTGCGCCGCTGCGAGCCTTCAGCTACTCGGCGCGTTCCTGAACTCCTTCAGGCAACATCTGGCTGACACCTGAACCACGTGTCCCAGGGCTACCTTTTCTGAAAGTCATCAGCAAATCTGGAAATGTTGAGTTGTCAAAGCTTGCAGCGGAGACACGTGCCCTTTCTACAGGCAGAGCATGGCTCCAGGCCTTCAGGTCCCTCTGCGCTGGTGTACCGCCCGCACACACCGGTGAGGAAAGACCGTCAGTGTCACTGCTGCAGCCCACGCAGTCTGACTGACAGCGTACATAACGAAAGGAGAATTTAGGCTGTCAGGTACGTATGACACCCCTGTGGCCTGCTTGGTTTGGACTCTTAGGTCTGTATCAGATGTTGAAGCATAGGTACAACAGGGAGGGTCTTCCAGACACTTGACACCAGACGTTTAACCGACCAGCTACCAAAATCCCAAGGGATACAGACTTAATGCTTCCAAAACCTCTTTTCCTCCATGACACTGTCATAACGTCACGGTGTCCCCTCCCAAGCGGAATCAGCCAGCAGGAAGCTTCCTGCGTGGCTCATTTTCTTTGCTATCCCAGACCGATGCAAGTACTTTTTTTCCACTTCAGTCACACTGGCCACCAAAAAAGTGGGAAGAAAACCCAACTCCAGCCTAGGCAAAACTCACTCACACCAGCTCTGGGTGACGACTGGGAGATTCTTACAGCATTTATCCAGAGCAACGGAAGATGCCAGACTCCAGTCAGGTCAAAAGTCTGAGCAAATCCTTACTGCAGCTACAAGAGAAGAGTCTTGGCGCTATCTGACCCGTCCTTCACCTGAGATCAGTCAGGGCACTTGTCTGTTAGACTGAAGCAAAAGCTAGTTGATGACTTAATCACTATTCATCCCACTTTGCCTGCTGCTATGATATCCTGGGAGAAAAGAACAGCATGGCTGGCTTTGATATTCTAATTATTACAGGATCTGTAAGCAAATCAAAACAGAAGGATCCCTTGAGTGAAGTCACTGAGCGCAGTATCACGTCTCCTGCGCTGGCAAACTCCAGTTTGGGCGTCAAGCCTGGAGAAAGAGTGGGCGACAGCAAGTGCAAAGAGTGATGGAAAGCCACCTTTCCTCCCCGCCCCGCCTCTGGGAATGGCCCTTCAGTCCCCAGGGAGCTCCTCCACTCTCCCCAGCCAGGCTTCCGCTGCATCCACTTCATGCATTTGTCCATTTGGTGCTCTTTCCTCTTTGTTTACTGGCAAAATCAACCTCCTCCTTTACATGATCTTGGAGCTAATATCTCTTTTACTGATGAGGACCTCCAGGAGCCTCAGCTTGGCCTTAATCTGCTTGTATTCATTGTACTCTTCAGCCATGGGAGTACGGTCTTCTTTCTGCACGTTCCTAGTGGGAGCGAAAGCAGATCATGAGGCTTTCTGTCACAGGACGACTTCCCCCAGCAGCCTCCCTCCGTCCCCAGCAAGACCTACAAAGCAGCTCCCCTCCTCCATTCCCCATCAGGGAACAAAACCAACATTTGATCCTTTGAGAGGGGAATAAAAAAAAAAAAAACCCAACCCAAACCACAAAGAGGGGCAAACAAACTACTCCAACGAAGCATGGGACGCTTGCGTATCGAGGCTGAAGACGATCCCGCGGTTCCAAACGCAAAGCCATATCTGAAGCAAACCCTGCTTCTCAAACTGCCAGCCTCTACACGGCAGCTGAGACAGGAGCCCCCTGAATGTCAGCCTGCTAGCGTGGCAGAATGAGGTACAGCTGCTCCTGGCCTGGCACCACATCGCTTACACAAACAGGCACCCTTGTGAAAAGGAAGATGGTATCTGCTCAGACTTCTCAGCTTACATGAAACTTGTACAGTTTTAGTGATTTTACAAGCACCTCTGAGGATGATGGCTGGTGGCAAGAAACCAGTAAGATAATTTACTAGTTAAACTGAAACGTTCTATCAGCTCATTAAGGAGGGACATTTTCTGAAAACAATAAACCCAGCTACACGAAAGCAGAAACCCTTGTTAAACTGGAATCTTAACACCTCACAGACAAGCAAGAAGAGGGCAGAAATCTGAACATACGCCACTAGGAAACTCCCCAGCTGTTCTATCGGTGAGAAACTCTCCCATCCCTCCTGTCAGTTGTGCTAGAGGCAGCTGGATGTTCACAATCTGGACTTCTGCTTCCCACTGCTTGTCCTAAGACAGTTTTCAAAGAGTCTGTGGTCCCTGAAGTCCTTTGGGGTGGTGGGGGCAGTAATTCTTCCCAATGGGCAACTGTAATGAATGCGGGTAAAGCACTCAGGATGATGACGAAGAAATATGTACTAGGGAATTCAGGTAACTCTCCATACTGGGTGGTGTTTGTAGACACCAAACATGAAAAGCAGCTGAAGGACAGATGGCTGAGAAATTATTACCTTCCGTTTTGTCGGAAAAAGTTATCTTCAAAGTCTCTCAATTTTTTTCTGATTTGCTTTTTCGCTTCCCTGACTTCTTGCAGCTGCTCTAAGAGCTCAGGGCTGTTGAGTTTAAACATAAACAAGATTATACACACTCACACAATTATAACAGGAAACATACGGTAAATCTACAAATGTGTGTTTGTACCTATGCCGGGCAATGGAGCTGCTCCTGCAAGCAGCTCTGCCAACCTGATGCTACTCTGAATTCAGCTCAGCAGCTGAACTGAAGAGGCTGAAGCCTCCAAGGAGGCCAAGTGTGCATGTCACGATTCACCACTAACAGCCACGAAACTTACTTGCTGAAGATGGGTCTGGTTTTGGCAGCTTTTATAGGCTCAAGATCCAATGCTCACAGCTTAAGGCTACCACCTACGTGTGCTGGCACCAGACTTGGCTGCTTGAAAGCAGCAAAGGTATGTCAGCTTGACCTCTCCACAACCTGAAAAACCTCGTAGAGTACAGGGCTGTTTTCATGACAAGGGCTTGCTGCTGGTGAAGTGGAGCTACTATTTAGTGCTAGAATCCAAAGATGCACAAGTCAAATATCAGTATCAGGACAAAGTAGATTCTTCCCAAACCCCGTCATATGAGGGTCTACTGCATTTAAAAATAGCGCACAAAATCTTCTGGCTCAAATCATAAATGGAAAAAAAAAACCCAAAACCCAGACACTTTACTGAAAAATAAAATGTTATCTTAGCAAGAAATAACTTTTTGAAGTTGCCTGCGAAGTCAACATACATGGATGCTTCATGGAGATTTGAAAGCCCCATATCCTGATTGCTCCTAGATGGCATCTTATCGTCCACCGGGGATACAAAGCCGTCGGCATCATCTTCTAGTTGATCCAGGAAGCTACGCACGTTGAAATCTGTTTTCATGGTAATGGTGAAATCTGGCTTCACGTTGCTGTCCTCCTCAGACCCCTCCTCTTCCTCCTACAGAGGGACAGAGCACCCCCATAACAGTGTAGGTTACTGCCTCCCTTCTCAGGAACGGGTACCGCCTGTCACCGCATGCACCGGGGAACAGAAGTGGATAGGCAGAGCAAGCACTTTCATTGCTAAGCAACACAGACACCAGAAGACCACCAGTAAGACACCCCATACCCCAAGCACGTCAGAGAAACTGCAACCACCAACTCAGATTGGTTAAGGAGACCCAAGGGAACAAACCGGAGTGGAGTCCTGATCTGGCAGGGGGGTTTCCTGCTCGGGCAGGGGGGTTGGACTAGATGATCTCTAGGGGTCCCTTCCAACCCCTGCCACTCTGTGAATCTGTGAAAAATACCCGGGGTTCCTAGCAACCTGTTGCTTCGTTTAATTTAGGTATTCTGATGTAAATAAGATGACTTACAGGCATTAAGCATATTGTCTAAGGCATCCCAGCCATCCTCTACCTTGCCCTGCAAACAGACCTGCCAGCACACAGATGGCCAGGTTAGAACAGGCAGTATTGTCCAACAGACACAGCTCAACAGCTCTCTCTAACAGCTGAATTCAAGAGCTCAAACACAGGGACAGTCACATCCAACACTGAGCTCAGATCACCCCTTCAATGGCCCAAAGGTGGGATGACCAACTGTACAAGGCCTGCTGTTGCTAACGTGCTCCCCCCATCAGCTCTGCACCATTTAGCTGAAATACACTAGAAATTGGAATGGGAACGCTCTGCCTGGTGCAATTTCCCCAAAGCAAAAATGGGTTGTTTTCAAATTTTTTTCTGCAAACTTTACAGGCCCAAGATTCGAAAGTCTCTGCTGCACCTGGTACTTGCTCATTCACAGCATTCTCAAACATAGGGCTTGTCCTGCAACACAGCCCAGAAATCATTTGGATTATCATGGAACAAGGCCCAGTTTTCTCTTACAGAGATTTTTCTAGAAGGCAGTTTTCAACCTTAATATAAGGCATGAGGCATGAGCATTAGAGGAAGGCAATAAATGCCATCATGGGCCATCATGGACAGTAAGTCGGTTGGAACTGGATGATCTTTAAGGTCCCTTCCAACCCAAACTATTCTATGATTCTATGATATATGTTTATTTTACAACCACGTAACTCTAGCCAGGAAGGATCTAAGCACGTGCATATCTTTAAAAGCTTTTGAGGGCTACTGTCACTCAAGTCTTCAAGTGTATGCAAAAATGTATTGTTGCACTGGGATCAAAAGAAGCCATTTTCTTTACTTTTTTCCAGGCGATTCCTTGTGAACAGTTCAAGTATTCCCAAGAGATTACTCCCGTATTTCAAGCAAAAAGGGAGAGAGTAACATTAGGACCTGGCATAGTCCCATTAAATCCTCAAAGTCAATGATTTATAAACACATACATTTACACAAAATCAGAGTTTGCCCAGAGTTCTCTTCTTATGCTCAAGCTCTAAGCCGTGGAAATGCAGTGCAAAGCCACAGGCTGAGAATTACAACCAAGACGGAGGTCTGAGGATGGGAAAAAAAGATTAGCCGGGGAGAAGTTTGGAGTAATAATAATAATAAAAGATACAGAGAAGTTTGGAAACATCTCAGGAAAATCTGCAGGGAGCTTGTGAAAGTTAAAGCAGTATTTGGCACATGATTAGCTACGGCCATGTCTCCAGATGTAAGTGGCTTAAATGAAAGGCATACATCAGCAGGCACGTATCGTCCTTAAACCCTGCAAACAAGTTCAGGCTGGGCTGTGGGGGGGGGACACACCATTGCTCACTGCCATTTACCAGTCCCCACTGCTGGAGAGAAAGGAAAGGGACAATTTCCATAAGCAGCATGACAAACTGCTCTCGAGGACAGATGCAATGCGGCTCCCCCATCGACGCCACGTGCCTGCCTCACATGCCCCACACCAGGGCACCAGCGCGCTGCCCAAGCCAGCAAGGATTGCCCTGGCCCAGAGCTCAGGAGCGAGCCTCCTGCCAACAGAAGCCCATGGGAGGAAAAGAAAGCGTAGAAATTTCACTTGTTTAGAGCTCAGTGCCAAAACAGTACACCTGGCTGTCACAAGACCTCGTAAAGCACTTGGCTGTTTAAAATGAGGGAGCGGATTAAAAGGATTCTTAGCGAGAACTCTAACTCAATGGCCATCTAAGGCCTTTGCTTTAAACGAGTCTCACACGGGAATCTTCTTTTAAACCTGCACTGGCATTTACACCTCGAACCAGAATGATCTTATTGACCAGATCTACTTGGGTTGCACCGGCTTGGATCTTCAGGCAATCATTTAAATTTTCCAGAGTTACAAAGAGAAAATCTCCAGAGTATTCCATCATCATCACACCTAGCAAACAACCTTCCCAATGATTTTTTTTGATCCAGACAATATTCAAGATATTGTACCCAAACACTTGGTAAGGCTTCACCTCAAATCACCTTTCAAGCTTTTATCCAACTCTCAAATGCTTCAAAAAAAGCTCCCAACCACAATAAAGAAACCCAACAAAGTCAGGGGCCCATCAAGACAGGCAGTGCTCTGGATGTCTAGGTGTGCAGTATTTACACCATTAACCAGACTCGGATAACGGACCAATGACCCAAGCTTGCTGAAGCACGTCTTCCCCCTCTTACAGCCCAAGGGTAACGAAAGCAAGCCAGGGCCCGGCTCCACGCTGCGCGTCCTGGTCAACCACGGGACTTTCCTCCTTCCTAGGGCAAGAGGGCCCAATATCGTCGCAGTCTTGGCCACCGAGAATTACGACCCCACAGCAGCACAAGAAAGAAACAACGGTCCTGCCATCCTAATCGGACCTCACGTGGCTCGATCAGAAATACCCTTCACAAGGTGGTGACAAAGAGCCCTGGATAAAACAAGCACGTGAGTGGGAGTAGGCAAGGATCCCGTAAGTGCTCCGGTTGGCTCCACGTGCGAGCGTTAGTTTTGTGAGAGCTCATTCCTGCCACGGTGCTGTGTGCAAGCCACAGAGCTTTGGAGTGAGAGAAGCTACCGCAGAACAGGTTAGTGTCATTAAAAAGAAAGGAGGAAAGCAAGAAAAAAGCAAGGTACGAAGGTAATTGTGATTTATTTCTTTTTTTAAGCAAAATAAAATATGTGCAGGTGGACAGGGAAGGAGAAGGATGGGAAAAAAAGCAAAGCCAAGGAAATACTGTAGTCTTATCTACAACAAGGGAATAATTTGATCAGAACTGGCGAGGCTTAACGCAGCTACTGATTTTTCAGGAGGACACTGCAAAAAAATTAACACTGATGAAAAAAAAATCAACCAATCATTCTCTTTCATTGGTATAAGGGGAAAATTGATGCAAACTGAGCAATTAGTTAGCAGCTGGAGGTCTTCACCTTTATCTCCTTGAAGAAGGAAGCTGTTTCGCCCTCGATAATTGGCTGCAGCAAAGGGCTTCTCCGCTTGCTGGAGGGGGAACCCTGTGACAGGTGTTAACAAGTATATTACATTATGAACCCCTTTCTCCTCCACCACCTACGCTCAGCTCATTCTCGCCCACACATTCACTCTCAGCTCATCGCTGGACCATCGGGAGAAGTCTGTTTCTTAAGGAAGAAAAACATGCCTGCCACCCCCCTGAACCTTGGGCTGTTTTCTCTCAGGATGCTGCTTAGCAAGGGACACCGCTGCCAAACACTTCTAGGAAAAAAAAGCTTGGGTGCTGGAATACTAGCTAGGGAGAAATTACAAAGCAAGGGCCACAAGAAAACAATCCCAGCCCGAGGCCCATGCACACACACAGCATTTGGTTGGCTCTCAGAGCTACAGTGTAAGCCCAGCTAGCTCTCCAGGCTTGCTTTCCAGGAGCCTCATATCCCACGGAAGTGCCTAACGACGCAGAGATGGATTGTCAGATGTAGCCTGCCTCTGCACGAGCCTCTCGCTGTTCTTGCTCAAGGGGCTGGGGAAAGCCAGTCCGGTCTCTCCTCTGCTAGCCACTGCGCAATTTCAGTTTTGTGACCAAACAGGGGCCAAGCTCTTTTGAGAGCTTTTGCGCTGAACTGCCCACGTGCAGCTACGTGCTTTCTTCCCTGATGGCCAGTGCCGCCTTCACAGCACGCGTTTTGGGGAGTACTTTGCCCGTTGAAGGAGGAAGCGCTTTATGTCTTGTTTTAAATGCAGGACCACCTCCCACTACTTGTGGAAACCCCCCCTTCTCAGCGTGCCTGCACTGAGCCATGCTGTGCCAGCCCGTTCACATCACTGACTCCACAAAAAGCGGCCGGGACACGAGTGCTGCTTGGGAACAGCAAAATAGTGAAGGATCAGACATGGCAGACACAGTAAACAGGAACCACGAGAGAACAATTCTCTCCCACAGACAGGCTAAAAGTATTCTGGGTGTATTTTTTAGATCAAATAATTTTTAAAAAGCAGCCTACACAAGTTGTCTAAAATTAGAGACGGTGCATTTGCTCCCCAGAGTGGTGCACTGGATTCCTTGCTGGTAGCAGTGCCTCCTTGCCAAAGCACCACCTTGAATGAGGAAATATCCAGGATCTCTAACATGAATGAAGTGCCAGGAGACTGCTGGCCCCTTCTCTCAGCCAAGGAGATTGGTATCTCCTGTGGGATCCACGCAAGTCTCTGTTCCTGACACACAATCCTGTGTAACCAAGCAGCATGGAAGACCTACAGCTCAGAGTGGGTTGGTAAGGAAAGGGAAGTGAGGCTGTAGCCAAACACAAGATGATGGAGTAACAGCAGCAGCCCAATGGAAAGAGGAGAAAGAACACAAGGCGAGACGTGGCTCATGGGTGGACACTAGACCCCCCTGGCCAGCTTGGCCCGACTTCAGCATATGGTGCGTGTCACTGACTGACTCATTTGCTTGGTCTCTGAGCTGTAAGGGAGGTTGGGACTTGGCCTTAGTGAGCGTGTTGTATCAAAAGTGTGGCGATTCCCACTTCCTCAGCTCAAAACGGCCCCCAAAAGAATGCACTACTCACAATGATAGGGATGGTGTTGGCTCTGGAGAGGATCTGCTTGACCAAGCGATACCTGTCGTACAACGGCTTCATCACCTGTCGTTCATTTTTGGTAACCTGAAAAGGAAAAAGCAGCGAGAGCCATGAAGCCTGTCAGGCATACTCCACTCTACGATGCACGTGCCTGTGACTGCTGTTAGTCAGAGGGGGCCTGAAGGGAATTTCCTGAGGATGACAGGCTAGCAGCATTAACCCTGAAATGAGTAACGCAAGTGGTTTAAATGACCAACTCCGGGATCTTATGGCCAGAGCATGAAGTGACCCATGGAGGCAGCAGTCTGTGCCTGTAATCACACCTACCATAAGACAGAACATGAGGTTCCCCACCCTTATTCTGGTGGCTGAGACCTCAGTAACAGTGTTTATGGCCCACCAAAAGAGAAAGGAGCTGCAATGACTGGATACTCCAATGTAAGGAGACTTTCTCAGGGTAGGTTAAAGTAAGATTTCACAAAAGCTGACTTTGTGGCTTTGCTATTCCTCTGAATTTCTTGTCCAAGCCTGCAGTTCTTCATCTTTTTAAGCCCTTAACCTCCACACTCCAACCCTCCTCCTAGCAACCTCACCACAGAGCTGAGAAGGGATGAAGGTGCCAGGGCAGTGTGGCATAGAGAAGACAAAACAGTGCTGTGATGCCCACCCCAAGCCTTCCTTACATCGCTCTGTCCCTCATTCCACTCCTCCGAGCTGCGTGTTGTGCTCCCTCCTCAGTGTAATTGTGCTCCCTCCTCAGTGTGTTACAAACTGCAAGTGTTCATTTCTGGTTTTCTTTCAGATCCAAGCTAAGCTGTAAATCTCAGCAGTACTGGCAACGCAGGAGAAGGGAAGACCTAACAGGCAGTAGCTAGTGTGGGAAAGCAAAGGTCTGTCCAAGTAAGTACTAGTTCTGAGGAAGTCAGGTTTTATGTCTTTAGTGTTTTGTTACAGCAGGGTTAGAAAACAAACAAACTACTCGGCAGAACCAACCTGATCATCATCTCTCTTTGTATTCAGCACTGTCTGACCCACATCCTATGACTGTCCTGTCATTAGACATTTTGTCTGACTTTAGATTATAAAGCTCTTATGAGGGGAAGCTTTAAGTGACTCTGCTGTCATGCCTATCTTAAAGGCTTGTTACTGCTGCTAATTACCAGACCATCTGAACAGCTACCATGTAAAAATCAAAATCAACAGTGTAAACCCTAGCGAGCTTTGTAAAGATTCCCCTTCTACAACAGAAACAGGAGGAAAGGGAATGCAAAGGGAATGCAGCTTGAGACAGGGAGGAATTTTTAAGTCTTGCTTTGTCTGCAGTTGACTTTCACTGGAGTAAGCTTTCTAAAGCTTTCACATCCTCCCTCCAGAGCAGGAGAGGGTGTTGGTTTGCAAGGTGCAGAAGAGCTGTAAGTATTGCCAGTGGGACTGGCAGGGGTGAACTCTAAGAATGTGGAGGTAACATCTTCCTCCTGATAACCAAGCCTATTTCCTATGCTGGGGGCAAATGAACAGGGAGGAAGAAGAGAGAAGACCTTTTTTATTCTTTTCTGGGTTCAGTGCAAACACCCCCAAGCCTGACAAGGGGCAGAGATGGGCAGTTTGAGCTCTAGGGCCCAGTATATCCCACACCTCCAGAGCACAGCTGGGCTCCAATACCCAACAACAGCCTCAAGCTGCTGTTCGCTGAGTAAGCAGCTCGCACAGATGAGAGGGGTGTGAGCAGCACCAAACAATTCGCTCAGCCCTCTCTGTATTGGGTTTGCTACTGATGTGTCTGCATTCAATTATACTGGCTAGAGAGCTGCCTACAACTTTGGATGTTTCTCTGCAATCCATCAAGCATACAACTGGAGAAACTGGGAGGCCTATATTATATTATTCCTAGTTTTACTAGGTTAGCAGTTAGTAGAATAGGAGGCACAGCACTACTGTTGGCTCAGACAGTCTGTTACTTAAAAAAAAAAAAAGAAACTATGCTGAGGCTGAGAACCAAACCTTCAATTAAGGACATTTCAAAGTCAATAAATAGCACTGTTCTGTGCATAAAAATAAACGTAAGCCTTGGAATGGGCAAAAAATCTTTAGGTATGTTGAAGAATGGAAAAAATAAATGACATGCTTCGGTGTCTGAGTATCAGTATGGAGGAATAACACATAGAATTAATTTAGGCATTGAAAGTTAAGCATATGGGGCCTGAGTCAGCCCTCTACTCATACACCAGCAAACTTAACAGAAAGCAGATTCTGAAAGAAAATGTTTAGCACATGGGCAAACTGTCTCACTTGGTAAACATAAGTACTACCAGCAAAACCCATGTATATTTTGGGAGAACATCAAAATGCAAAAAGAGACTGTTGGAATAATGGAGCCTTTGACACAACTCTGGGGCACACTCCACATGGCCAAGGAGCAGCAGCTGAGGAAGAGACCATTGCCTGCATTGTTAGAGCAGCTTGAGAATTTCTGTAGAGATGGCCTTTTTGGCTTGACTAAAACAGTTCAGTTCCACCTTTACAGGTTCATCTATCACTGGTGCAGAGAGACCCAGTTGCACAATAAATCTGGGCTCCATTGTTTTTCTTGTTTAGTTAAATATCTTTAAGGAGGAAAGAAAAAAAAAAAAACTTGGCGGAACTATCCCCATTCTCCTCAAGCTCTCAGTATTTTTCCACTGCTGCAGTGCCAGGAGCTGGGAACAGCAGAAGCTGACCAGCTGCAGTCTTCCTTGCCGTGCAGTTCAGTGTTGCTAGGTATAGAGTGCTTACTTAAAACCAAACAAATTAAAAAGTGGTTGTATAAATAAAGCATCAGAAGGGGAAGCAAAAACCCCAAAGGTATGCTGACAAGCTATGCTCTGGGCTTGTTCTCTTTTTAAACAGGTTTACAGGAGTTCACTTCAGCGAGATGCTACCTGTTGATTTCTATCACTGCAAAAGCAGCCACGGCAGCCTCAGGCTCACGGAGAGGACAGGGAAGGTTAAGTGGATTCCCTTGTGCTGGCCTTTTACTGTTTTACACAAAACTGCGGGTCCTCTTACACAACTATGCTGTGTTCAGTTGCTGGTATATGCAACTGTGCAATATCAGCACTTCATGAAGGCATTTAAATAAGTTAGCGAGCCTTTTTTAAAAACAATGGACAAAGGAGGAAATAACCCAGGAGCAAGAGGAAGGAAGAGATCAGGAATCCCACGCAGCAGCGGAATGACAGATTTGTCAGCTGCACTAATCAAGTACTCCTTATAAGCAGTCATTTGCCGCTTCCAAGCCACCGCTCAAGGGATTAGCGCCACAGAAATTAAGTTACTTCACCTATACAGCTAGTAGCAAAGATTATAATGTCATGAGTGAAAGAGGAACAGAGATTCATACAAAGCCAACTTGGTGACATGGAAGCCACCGTTTTCCTGCCACGGGAGGGATCAAGAGGACACAATACTTAAAGAAAAATCATTTTTGAAGACAGAGAATTGTTAAGATCAAACGTGCAAGAAACCTCATGCCAGTCACTTCCACTGGCACGTGGAAAAACCCACTCATTTCTCAGGGGAATAATAGCAAAGTGCAGGTGACTCCCTGCAAATGGCAAGGTGCCGGGAGAAGCACTCTGCAGCTCCTCTAAGAAGGAGCAGCGTACACACACCTGCTTTCCCAGACAGCAATTAACACTAGCACATGACAAAACTCCTGGTGGGATGGGGAACCACACACAGCTATTCCCGTGCAGACCACATTCCTGGCAAAGCTGGTGAGACTGCTGGGCTACAAACTGGGTGCCTGTGGATCCTGGTGAGTGTGATGCCAAAACAATCCATATGCAGCCTCATTCAGCCTGTAGGCCTGGTCCTAGAGGTATCCGCCAAGCCCAGCGCTGCGTGCCAACGTCGCCTTCTGAGAACGGGCTCCTCAGCACCAGCGACGGATTGGGGAGCTGCATGAGAGCACGCATGTGCGGTTTGAAGGGCAAGCCGTTCTAGTGACTGACTTCAAAGGAGCATCAGGGGGACCATTTACCACAGACAGAGACATATAAAGGTGTATTTGGAAAAAAAAATGCTGCTGTACATACCGGTCTGCCATGAATGCTTTCGTAGTACAGCAAAGCTTTTTGAAGAGCCACTTTTTCAGCTGCTATCTGATCTCTTGTCATGTCCTGTGAACAGTGGCACAGAGAGAGAGGAGGAAGAACAAGTGTCAGATTTCTGGGCTCAAACAATACTGATTTGTGGCCTAAACAAAGTCATGTCATTTTATCATTAATGTTTTGAAGACTCATCTCTGCCTTCCAGTCCCCGCTTCCCAGCGATATTGCCAAGGAGACTGTCAATGTGAGTGACACCCCATGCACAATACAGGCAGATTAAACCATACAAAACTTTGCATATGAAGGTATTTTATGTACCTAAGGGGGATTTATCAATTATCGGTGTGCTTTGAAAAAAATAACAGTATGCAACTTTTAATGAAGGTCGCTCTTTCTCAGTTATAATCCAAACTGTAAATTCTACAACAAAATGAATGTTCTTTCTTTTTCTCCAAATCTGAGACAAGCTCCAGTACCTCTTGCAAAGCTTGCCATCTTTGCTTTGACTGCCACACATACACTTTACCAAGATCTGAAATGCAGTCAAACCATCTCCTTCTGCCAGTTCTGCTATGGAGAGAAAAGCTCTGGCAGACAGTCTGAGGAGACCAAGCCAAAAAAAGGGCAGACAGTTGGAGAACACCTCCCTAACTAAGTTTGCCAGAGTTCCCCCACTGAACTTGCCTGACACGGAGCCTTCTCTCCCTATCACACCACAAAATAGTATCACAGACCATCTTAAAACAGCCAGGCTATGGACTCGTGCTACTGTCAGAAAACAGCCAAAACACAGAGTGTGTTTATCATCTTCTTCTTCTGATCTAGTAAACAAAGATAATACTGTCTGCCCGCTTACAAAGCACTGCACATTTTACATGTCAGCAGACTCAAGGACTTCACTTACAAGGCTGCCCAAACATCAGGAACTAGCAACATCAGACACAAAGACCTCCCTGCTGATAACCCGCAGAGATTGCAGCAGCTATCAAAGCTCAATGTGAAACTCTGAAGAGCAGTGATAAAATGCCCCAAGAGAAAAGCATTCAGCTTTGGAGTGAGGTAGAAGGAAACAGATGACCAGATCTCCAGAATCACTGGTAAGACTCAGAATTTGCCAAAAGCTTTTGGACATAACAACAGAAATAGCCAAATACAGGGCAGGAAATATTGCAGTAATTCAGAAATATTACTTGGAATATGGAACGAACAGAAAAAGAACACACAATGACATTCAACAGAAACTGAGCTCTGGAAAAAACAATCAGATACTAAAGGCAGAGGGAAAGAAACTAAAGCAAGTGAGCCAGCAGTAAAGGTTGTAGACTTTTGTAACAAAACACAGAACACCACAGGGCTTTCACAAGTGACTGCACAGCCACAAACTACCTGCGTATACTTAAAAGCCTAAATCTGACCTGTCTACATCATACCTTAATATCTTCAGGTCGGTTTGTCTCTGTTCGTTTTTCCTGAAGCTTCTTCTGGATAGACTCAAGGGTCGCTTCCACAGCAGGCTTGGCAGATTTATCTGACAGGTCTTGCTTCTTGTCCTCGTCCTTTTCGAGCTGAGAGCCAAAGCTCTTGGGGAGCGTGTTGCTCCGCTGACGCACAACAGGGCCAAGGTCTTCCTCCGATATCTTCAGCTTTGACTCTAAATGGGGATATTCAGGGGAAGATGAGTAATTTCTCTTTTTTAAAACGCGACAGTGGCAGGACCACTGCCTAACATCAAACTTCAACGAGGCAGAGTCACGCTGCCCCCAGAGGTGCACCAGTGGTGGCTGCTCACCTTTAAGTTGCTTTCGGAATTTGGCCAAATCATTTGTCCATTTGAGCACTTCAGGGTTGGCTGCTTTGTCGCTGTGGGAAGGCTGGGAGGAAAGAAGAGTCATGCTGAATCTGTGTTAAACCAACAGGAGAGACCCACTGAAACAACTGTGTGCCATAAAAGAGGTACAACTGAATTTGGACTCAGCATAGAGCATGGGTTCCTGCACCAGTTCATTTCAGACCTTGCTTTAATTGCTCCTGCCTGTCACAACACACTGTTTCTTAGGGGCATCATGAGATTGAGTTTCTTTTTAGAAAACACAAAACGTTTGATGGCAAACATTAAGTTGTAGCAGTGGCTCAGAGAGGCAGACACATTGGAATCCTTGTGCCTATTGTTTCCTAACAGGGGGGCACCTCCAGAATAGAGAAAGCCTAGCATGAACAGTTTGAGAAGTATTAGAATGCACGTATCCACACCAAAGGCTGCCTTATATCCAAAGACACTGAAATAACCCAAATACAAGGCTACAACAAGCCCTGAGCATTTCTTCCAGCATTTTCTACTGCAGGCAAGATCCTTTCAGTACAATTCTTTGTGGTTTAGATCACCAACAAAGATGCACACATGCAAAGCTTTAGTTCCTTAAAAAGCTTTCTGTGCATCAGAAGGGCATGTCAGGAATAATTAGAGTACAGTACACTGCTACTGCTCAGCAGCACTTGACTGTGGTTCCTTGCTCAGGGAGTAAAGGCGGCTGCTCTCCCTACTCTGCAATGTGCTGGTGTCCTGGGATTACCATCATGCAAATGAGATGTGCAGCTGTGCTTCCCACAAGCTGAACATGTATAAATAAACAAGAGTAAATTTAACATAGCTATTCCTACATACTGATTGTGTGTCTTAAGCAGTAATCAAAATCCTATGAGTTTATCAGGCGCTCTCTTGTGCTGTCTGGAAAGGTAATTTTGGTATGGATGCACATTTTCTTTTTTGGGGCAGATGCTTTTTATTTTTTAAAATCCCCTTACGAAAGCTTTATGTTTGTTTGTTTCTTTATGTTTGACAGATTTCCCTGATGTCCCTTCCCTTTGGTGCTAATGCATACCTCTCCATACAAATGCTTAATTCCTAGAGACTCACTCTGTATTTCCTCTCCTCTTCAAATTTGTCCTCAAATCTCCTGATCTTTTTCTTCAGTCCCTGAATCCTCCGGGTGAGTTGTGCAGGGGTAAGGTCCTCTCTGTCATCTTCATAAGATCCCAAAGACGAACTCCGCCTCCTGCCAAGAGCAGAGATTGCAGGAAGAGCTTATCCAAACGGCCATAGTACATCTTCATGCACAGAAGGCCACTTAAACTGTGTAAATAAAGGCAAATCCCACAGAAGTGAGAAAGCTATGTTGTTAGTCTGTAATGACAGATAGTAAGAGAGGCTGTAACTGCCTCTTTTCAGCAACAGCAGCTCCCTAGATATTAATTCACAAACCCAAACAATTCGTTAGCAAGAACTTCTCTAAAAACATAGTTTTCTGTCAGTAGAAACTGAAACCCAACACAGTATAGCTATCTGGCGTGTGTGATCCAAACAGATGTTGCTTGATGCAACTGTACAAGCCCTTTACAGCTGGGTGCACCAGTCAGCACCAGCAAATCACAACCCACCTCATGAAGGAATGAGAATTGGGAGGGGAAGGAGGCACTTCTGTATCGTCCAGGTACTGCTGGCTCTGTCCATAGGCATAGAAGCGAGGGGACAGCATAGGATCGCTGTCCTCATCCAGAAGCTGGCGAATTAAGCGTCCGGCCTGCGGGGAAAGGCGAGCCTCATCTGAGTCTAAGCCGTCTCGTTGCCATGAGGAGAGAGCAGGGACGGGCTCTGTGAACAGTAAGACAAAGGCTAGTTTTATCATTTTTGTTTTACATGTATGACAGACTCCAGGCAACTTCTCCAATGAACCCTGACCTGTCTGTCCTGGATCGCGATTCCTTGTCACCAGGCCTTCTCCAGGCATCTGCCCAGTGTGCAAAGCAATGCAAAGAATTGCCTGGCCACAGAGGGTACTCCACACAAACATAAATCATCTCCTAGGTGTAACAGAAAACTGTACCCAACAGTTGGCCAGTAATTACCACAGAATGACACCAAACAAGGCAGCACCTTTAAGGAAGAGGTGCTGGACAAGAGAGGATTATTGGCACATGGCAGTATAAAGGTGGCAACTGGATTACAGGTGGATTTTTTTTTCAGTTTCAGGATGTACAAATGCTGTAAATGAACAGCATATACGTTGTCCTCCCATAGCCTCCATCACTCCAATACAACCCTGCTGCCTGCTATTGGAAATTCAAAGGAAAAGCATAGGTTCTTCTAGTCTGCAAGGAAAAGGTGTCTCACATTACTCCACAGGGTGCCTAGCCCATAAATTAACAATGATGGTAACAGTCTGACCCTGCTGCATAACAGCACTGTAGAGAAGTGAGGAAATCTTTAGTCCCCTGGGCAATCTAACCAGCTGGAGGTGAAAGCAATGTTCTACAGGGCAATGGTGCAGTGGGAGAAAACGGGAAACCCACCTTCGCATTGCTGATTAGCACAGCTGAGCCCACAGAAAGCAATCGCCTCAATCTTGTGATCGCGCCCCTCCAGATACCATAAGGAGTCTAACGTTTTGTGTTCAGATAGTTTACTAAGCTGATTTGCATGCTCCTACTTAGCACCGCAGGATTAGACAGTTTAAGAGCCAGGCTGTGAACTTCTAAATCTAACAAATAGTTCTAGAGTCAAGTAACAAAACAAAAACCCTGTAGAAAGCTCCCAGATCAGGTGCAGAGCTATGGACTCATTATTTCCCGTGCTTAGTGTGTCTACTTTTCTTCCACAAAGAGACGGGACTTTTGAGCTCATCAATTTTTGAATAAAAAGCCGTATTCCCTTTCGCTGAACAAGGCTGACATTTTCATAGCTCAAATGGATTGCATGAGGATTCCCTTACAGAACCCCTATGCTGTTAAATATTTCACCCCACCATGTACAATTTGGACAGCGCAAGATAATCCACAAGTCAGCAAAGACAGGCTCAGCAGTATTTTGCCCATATGTGGTGTCAAACGATGCTCTCCTCCTCAGCAATTGGAAGGCTGAAAGAATTGGGCTTGTTCAGCCTGGGGAAGAGGAGGCTCTGGGGAGACCTTATTGCAGCCTTCCAGTACCTGAAGGGGCTACAAGGAATCTGGGGGGGACTTTTTACAAGGGCCTGTAGTGACAGGACAAGGGGTAATAGGTTTAAATTGAAAGTGGGGAGGTTTAGATTAGATATCAGGAAGAAATTCTTCACAGAGAGAGTGGTGAGGCACTGGAACAGGTTGTCCAGAGAAGCTGTGGAAGCCCCATCCCTGGAAGTATTCAAGGCCAGGCTGGATGAGGCTTTGAGCAACCTGGTCTAGTGGAAGGTGTCCCTGCCCATGGCTGGGGAGTTGGAACTAGATGGTCTTTAAAGTCCCTTCCAACCCAAACCATTCTGTGATTCTATGAATACAAACAGCATGCCTCTGCTTAGAGGTTGGTGCTGCATACAAACTGATGCACTGCTCTGAAAGGGATGGCTGGAGGTTTTTGCATAAGAGCCTCTTGGTGTGATAAACAAAGCACATAGAAGCTATTCTGATGTGGTCCCAAGTCCCAGGTGTATGGAGGCTGTTTTGCCATGGATTGGAAAGCTTCTGCAGCCATCCCTTCTCTCAGTTAATTTCTGGAGTGAGAGTTTTTTCTAAGCTACGTTCCACCTTGGCAGTTCCTAATACCTGAAATATTTTGCTCAAAGAGTCTGATAAGAAGGAGGGTGAAATGAAAGGCAAACCCTTCAGCCAAACTACCACACTTGGGTGTTGCACACTTCCCTGAATCTCACGATTTCAGGAAGGTTCTCACAAGATCTCTTGTAGCAACATAAAAGCTAATAACACAAAAGGAACAAATCTGATATATTTCACTAGCAGTAATTACGTTAAATGATGCACGTGATCCTTCCAGATATTTCTCACTTCCAATTTTTGGAATACACTCTCACCCCCAAAGAGAATTTACTCTTAGAAATTGTTAAATCACACCTCCTTGGGATTTACAAGGATGGAATAAACTTAGAAGAAATCAGCAGCATATTTAGCAGTAACCAAATTAAGCTCCTACCACACCAGCTAACAAAGCCATTATTAATCATGCATGATGCATGTGACTTTGTCCCAAGGTGGATTTATATACCAGATAGCATGCGACATTCAGGGAACTGCAATGGCTCAAAGAACCTCTAATTAAACCCAAAAGACAGCAAAGCACTTCATGCAAGCTAGCGAAAAACAAGGTATGTGTACTATTTTGTTGATTTCAAATTAATGCCCAAAAATAGAAACTCACATTCCAGAGGAGAAAGTGTTAAAAAGGAGAAGGAAAAAAACCCTCAGAAGAAAAAACAAACTTAAGACTTGACAGAAAAAATGGCCACTACAGAAAATCAGCCCTTTTGTAACCCCAGCTCCTGGAAGGCCTGACTCTATGGGCAACTTGTTTTCCTTACTTCTTTAGAAGGAAAAAATTTCACATGGACAACATAATGGCTAACTCCCCAGGAAGTTAATACACACGAACCGACTAACGGTAAGCTGCTCCTTTTTCTGACAGTGCACAATCAATCAATTCTTGTTTAACAGAATACACAGTATCTTTTAATATTATTTATCAAGGATAGCTATCAAAGTGCTGAGCCTTTTCTGAAGGCTGCTGAATTCCTGAACTTAATGGTTCAGGTCTGAAGTATCTACGATCAGGATTAATGGTGTCACCCTTTCTGCTCTCTGCTAACTGAAGAATAAAATCTCAGTAAAGCACTAAGTGTTTTACCTTTGGTTTGCCACTGACTTGACAGAGCAGCTACCTTTATTCATCTTCTGTGTTGAACAGAGATCTCCCTTGCTCAGAGAAAGCACTCAGTTTTCTACTCATCTCCACATTCGTTGTATTGTTTTTCCTCCATTTTCCCTAATGACTGCTTTTTCAAGAAAAAAATATTTAGGAAAATTTAACCACCATGGCTGTACCAGTGCAGAAAAAGGGTGACAAAAAGTTTTCTATTTCTTGGTCAGACTCTCACCAGAGTTATGCCTTTTCTAAGTTGGCGCAGAAGCAAAGCAGGCTGGTATTGAGCCTGCAGCCCTTCAGTGGTGCTGCACACCCCCTCAGAATCCCACCACCAGCTAATCTTTCAGCCATCTGCCAGGTGTTGCTCTGCAGAACTCCGTGGGCACACACATGCCTACAGCAATATGAACTCTCTGCCAACCTGCCACATCAAGGGCTGGAGATATTAATAAAGCTGGTACCACACAACGGGAGAAAGATTAATTGTATCGAACTGGTGTAGTATTGGCGAGCTCCAGACCATCTTGCTGACAGAACCTGACTTTTTTTTATCATTACATTGTATATTTACCACTGGGTTATTCTGGGGGCTGCAGGACCAACAAGGGGTGCCCACACACATCCCACTTGATATGGGGCAGGGAAAGTGCCGCGGGCATCTCCTGTCTCCCTCTCTGCAGCCGCAAGGCTGATATATGCTGCTAATGCTGCTTTTACACACAACCATCTGAAAGTAAGGAGGCCAAATCTTGGCTGCTGTAAAGTAGGTCCGGAGGGATTAAAAAGCCTAAACTAATTACAACACCTGAGGTCCTAGTATTATTAAATCCCACTTGAAAGGCTCCAGAAAGACCTCTCATAATGAAGCGAATAAAGCAATTTAAAACCCCAAAACATTAACTAGCTCAGTAACAACCTATTTTACTCATCTCATAAATAACTGTTGGAAAACATCCTTGTTTGGATCCATCAGGAGGCATTCTTCCTATGCAGATCAAAAAGAATGGCCCAAATAAAGCGCTACTGCATCTTCTCAGTTAGTGAGGTGCCACATCTCTCGGCTATCAAGCCAACTTTCTATTTTGTTTATAACATAATGTCACAATAAACAATGAAAAAAAATTTTTTTACAACATTGATGCTATAAAATAGGATCAATAAACCACACAATTATTCTTTTCTCCACACAGTAATAAAAATGCAGTGTGTTTCATCACGTTTTGATTTCTTATGCTAAAAAGGATGTTACACTGATGTATCTAAGTCCACAGTGTTGAAAAAAAGAAATCTAAATCCAGCTTCCCTGTTGCTATACTCTGGATTTTTTTTGCATTAGTCTGTTTTTTTTTTTCCCCATGGGAAAGTATCAATTAAGTCAGTGTCTAAACTATTTGTAGATCAGCTTCACCCTCAGGGATTCAGTCCTGCAATACTTGACTTCTCAACACTGAGATCAAATTATCTTTTCAAGTTCTGCTTTTATTTTTATTTTTCTTTTTAATGCTTGACAGTTTGCAGAAAAACATCCACTGATTGTTTCATAAGCGCTTGTTAGTGCAAACTCTGCTTGAAATCTCATCTACAGAACTTATTTTAAAATGTCAGTGATCGGGGGACGTAGGCAGCAATCACACACATCGTATCGATTTACTGAACTGCCTGTTCAGCTCCAAGCTGCTGACAGGGCCAGCCGCTGTTACACAGAGCGACATACTTCCAGATTTTCCTTGAGGGCAGGATAGCAAGTTCTGGGCCTGAATTAGAAACATTTGGTAAGAAATCTGCACAATAGCGTTGGACTGTGAAAGAACACTCTGTCCTCCTCGCTCACCGCACTCGATTCAAATGTAATCGACAACAATTAAAAACCTTCGCTATGGAAGCGGCTCTGAAAACGCTTGCTCGCAGGCGGTCTCAGCTGGCACCGACCGAGCAGCTTAGGCCAGCCTAGCAGCCGGACAGCCCCGTGCGCCGAGGCAGCTCACTTCACACCCAGCCCGAGAATAAAACTATTTGGTTTGCACCCGCGAGCGCACACTAGTAAAGTACTTCTCTCGGACCATAGGAAACGCACCTGGGCTAAGCATTCAGCACTTGAATTTGGCTGGGGCACTGCTCATACCCTGCGTACCGCACCAAGAGCCTGATGGTTACTACACACACGCCCCTACACGTAGCGGGCAAGGTGGATGCAGAAGGTGGGCACATGGCAGACTGAGCCTACGCACTGGAGGAAGCGGGAAGCAAACTTCTCTGTCCTCTCTCCTCAGCTTTAGGGAAGGGAACATAGCCTGGAGAAGTACAGCAAACCTCTCCTCCTTCTGCATAAAGATTTGCCTATGTGGTGAACCTTAAAAAAGGAAATATTTGGTAAAAACTACTTCTAGCATAACGTAAAAGGCATGTGGCCCTGCCAGCTCACCCGGCAGCAGTTCTCACGGTTCCATGTCCCTACTGAGGGTTTGCAAGGCAGCTTTGGTCTTAACACAACTGACAGCCTGCCTGAGTGACAAATAAAAGCTAGTCAAGGGACAAGGTTGTCTTGCGTGACTTTGTGCCCATTCTTCAAGGCCCTTTCCTAACTTCTGACTGGAGGCAGCGACAGCTACAGCTGAAGGCAACCCCTCAGCCTGTAATTGTTCTCAAAAGCCAGTTGTAAAAGGCTCAGCGTTGCCCTGGTCACTCGATGCTCCATAGCTCCTGCAGTGTGATACAGTGGACCCTGCCCTCAAAAGTCAGTTCAACTATGTCCTGGAGGAAAGGGTAATTTCCTGAGAGATGGACCTACCAAGTTTGCTAAAGCAAAGTAATACAGAATTCAAGTGTTAATGGAATTTGGAGGTGCCGTCCCCCCCCTTTTCACTGGGGTGCAATCAGAGCTGCAGCACAGATCTTGAAGAGGTGTGTGAAGGTTTAAGTGACACAGGCTGGCGGGTAAAGGGGGGATGCCCTGGCTGCTAGAGCTGTGGATGAGTGGTACAACCCTGCCTTGCAAAGCCAGTCTCAACGACAGCCTCTGTCATTAGCTGCAGAAGCAGTCTGAGAGTTGACGTTAACACCTTCCCCTTCCTGGCTGCTGTGAGCCTGTCTTCACATCCACTGTGAAAGGGGAAAGACTCAGTCTTTCCTTGCTGAGACACAGAAACCACCATTTTGCTGCTCTTTCATCTGCGCCAACAAAATGGTGATTCTGAAAGGCAAGTATTTTAGATGACATCTCTCATCCCAGACAGCTGATTCTTCTGCAGCTGCCCACCTCTTCCTCTTGTGAAATGCATGTGAACAGAACGGAGGAAGGAAGAATCAGAGAAAAGTACTCTTCGAGCACAGTCACACGTGCTCATAATCCTGTTTCATATTTGCAAGGGCAAGAAAGCTAGAATCCAAATATAAGGCATGCCTACAAAGAGGGAGTTGTACCAAAGGTGCAACTTATTTCACACGATAGAAAAGCCTCTGGCAGACAGAAAGAAGCTGTATTCTCCTCTTCATGCATTCATATGACTCCCATTAGTAACCCAGGAAGAAAAAGAAAGTAATTACTTCCAAAGGTTCACATGACAGCTGAAGCCACACATCACCTCTGAGAACACAGCCGTGCTCACCCTGGCTCGAGACCCTGCGGGGCAGCACTAATTAGCATCTCAGCAAACTCGTCAGGAGGCCAAGGCCTCCTGGGAACCCTTCCACGGCGCTTTGATCAGCCACGCTGCATGCGTGGTGATACCACCCAGGGAATCCCCGCCTAGCAAGCGAGTGGAGAAATTCTCTCCCGTCCATGGTGACCAGCTGCCTGGCTGAATCAAAGGCAGCCAGGGCTGCAGGTTTTCTTTACTCATGCCTAAAGTGTCGTAACTACTCTCCTCCTACAGGGAAAGGCAAAATACATCAGGTCACGTACGCTCTGGAGGCAGGAGCAGAGAACTTGGCTTCTCAGTGTCCCTCAGAGATTGTTTTTTTAAAGCAATAAATTAAACATTTTCCCTCTGTTGCTTTGTTTATTGAAATACCATGCTCGCATTTTCATATTTCTTCCCTGCCAAAGCCCATATTTCACTCCTAAAGCACAAACTAACTGAACAATTCTCACTTGCACAGAAAGACATACTTTGTGATTGGAAGAAGGTTTGATCCCAGAGGTGCTGGACACCTACAGTTCATCTCAATTCCAAATCAAGTTGAGGTTCGTGGTACCCACAGAGTTCCCCCAGATTTCCCACTCCAAGTTAGTGCACACAGCCAACCCACCTCTCATCTCCAGAGTGCATTCTAAGAAACAGTATTCAACTCATTTAAACTACATGCAATTTAACACTGCTGTTTGAGCTGGTGATGAGGATTTTTTCACAGCAGACATAAGTTGTTTGTAAGAGCCATCAAAAGACAGAGTACTACGTAGACAGACAGCATTTTTTTTCTACCTGTGCTTTTCAGACCCAAATAATTATTTCCAAATAATGACTGAAGTGGAAGGAAAGGGAGAAGGAAGTTCCTCTTAGACTGTGAAATACCCACTTTCTTTGAACTAAAGGGCAGTCTAGCTTAATACTGGAGTAACCAGTCACCAAGAAATGTTATCCTGAAAACACCCAGGGATGTAACAGTTCTAGACAGCACACGACAGTAACTTCAACAATAAAATCAGTAATTTTCTTCCTCTAAGTGACAATTGGAAGTGGTACCCATCCAGTATTTTGCTTCCAGTTTTGCCAAACTTTCAGTTCCATATTCAGGACAAAATTGCTTTCCTGTTGTTTTTGGAAAGGGAACATGATCACATCAAAATATCCAGCCCACTCAGGTTTTCCTCTCTCTAGTTTCACTCATACGACCAGCCATCGCACAATCCTACCTTCCCAGTTGTTGTCATCACACAGCGCTGTCAAATCCAGCCGAGGCACTTCTGACACAAAACTGTTCTCCTGATCATCAGCATCTTGATTTCTTTGCAACTTGTTTTCAGGAATGCTTGGATGCTCTTGAATCTTCATACTTGAAGTCAGCTATATTCCCACACACCCATAGGAATGAGGGGGGAAAAAAAAAAAAAAAGTTGTTCAAGGAGGCAGAGGAGGAAAGAAAACCCCACCCCTGCGGTCACAGCAGCAGTAAGCTCACACCTTTAGCTAAAAACATCCAAACAATCAGTCCCTGATGTTTCCAGCTCCAAATCCCCTGTTCGGTGACCCCTATGTACTAATTGCTCACGCACAACGGTAAAAACATCTGCCCATCTGCCTTCCTTGAATTCTTCCTTCTTTAGAAAACCAATGCAAGTTCCTCAGCCTGCCTGCCCTAAAAACTGCATGCAGCTGAAAAAGCCTCCTGTAATCAACTGGGATGAAAAGGGAGGGAGAAAGGCAGGGAGAAAGGGCTGCATACACTTCCTACAGGAGTGCAGCTCCTCAGACCAACAACAACGCTGCTGCTGCTGCTGTTGTAAGGCTGTAGCAATATGGTGTCTTCTAAAAATCAGGCACCGGAGCTCCTGAGGTAGCAGCCGCAGGCAGCGAGCAGCGCAGGCTACGTACACGAATGCTCTCATGCAGGCTGTGCTGGCTCAGATCAATTAGTGCCAGCTAAGCTGTGCTGGCTGCACATTCCCCGATTTCCTGTGGTTGTTTTCTAGCTGGGCGTGGGGAGAGCAGAACTATTTATGGAGGAGCTCTGGGTATTAACGCAGTGTTGCGCAAATCCAAATGGCAGTGGGGTTTGGCATCTCAGCTGGAAGCAGTGTGGACTATGGGAAGAAGCCAAAAATTCATACAGGCATCCAGTGACTTAGGGAAAAAAAAACAAGGCAGAATGCTGTCAAGTAAATGATTCATCATTTAGCCCTACCTAGAAGCAACTGCTGTTTGTCTCACCACTCTTCACCCCTGCACATACCACACGTCGTGTGCATTTATGCAGAAATCACTGCCATTCCCACAATCCAGATACACAGTGCGCGTGTCTGCAATAGCGCTTGATGACACGAGCAGTTTTGTCACTCCAAAACAAATTAGCTGTAATGCCTCACAGAGGGCAGCAGGGAAAAGGAAGTGTAAGGCACATACATAACCATAGAACGTGATACATGTAACCCCCCAACAAACAGTGCTATCCGAATAGACAGCATTATGTTACTACGTAAACTATTTGATCTTGGTAAGAACAGCTTAGGTGTAATTCTCTCAAATATAGTCCAACAGGTAGTCAACATGCAGATTTCCCACCCCTCCCTGGGTATTCTGATAACCTAGTTAGCAATCTGCATATGCTGGTGTGTGAAAAAAAATGTGCCTTAAGAAAATAACTGGCATATTTGGATGTATTTTACTTGTGAATCCGGAAGCATGGCCAAACGGTACTAAATCAATATTCTCAGTACATGCCACTAAGGCACATTTAATTATTTTCATCTGCAGAAGCTAATGATGCGTTTGGGTTTTTTTCCCCTTTGAGCTGAGAAAAACAAGTACGCTTCATGTAGAGAAGAAAAAAACCTGACCACTAGACAAATCATATGAATGTTTTTATCTGGATTCAATCATATCGATCCCTGCAACTGGACAAGTTGCTAGATAATCTCATCTAGGCTCCCTTTCCCATGAAAGGGTGGGCCAGGTGATCTTTTGAGATCCCCTTCAACCTAGGCTGTTCTACAGTTCTAAAAACCTGGGTGATGAACACCCTGGCATTTGGAAAGAGTTGCTCTCCATTGTATTTACATAAGGTTTGTATTTCCTTTTCATTTCAACAAATCACCTTTTTGAAATATTATAGCAAAAGGAAACACTAGATGACAGTTTGCCAAGCACTAATAACTTGTACAGCTTGACACTAAATCTGATTACAAACATGTTTATTGTGAGAGCTGTACATGGAAAAATGCTAATTCACCGTTCAATAGCTTTTAAGCTGCTTCCTGGTTGGGAGGACTTACATATTTCTTTAAGGTCCGGTAACAAATTTCTTGCCAGGATCTAAATAGTCAGTGTATGTTATAAACAGAAAGACTGGTCAGTGGCCAGAAACAGGCAGTCTTTTACATTTACTAGAGAACAAACTGTACTAGTCAATAAACTGCATTTAAATTGCCAGCACAGTATTTTAAGGCTGAAAGACATTAAGCAGTACATTTCAAAATAGGTGCTGTTTTTAATAGCATCAAGAAGCATGAAGAGAACTTACCTACATTTTAACAATTTCAAAGGGAGCAACCTGAAAATACCAGTGTCACCACTACTGATACTAATTGCACAGTTAAATGTTTTTCTATGAAGATTGAACAGTATCATGACTTATCAAGGCTCTTGAAAGATTATCTGTAGCATATATAAGAGCACTTCCCAGCTGGGTAAACATTTCCATTACTGATATATTAGAAAAATGTCAATGACTTCCTTCTGAAGTCCCTTCAGTTGCTGGAAATATTTAAAAGCTGTTTAAAACCAGGCCTGTGCTGTGCCTGCAGCCAGTTACTCCCCTTTCCTTGCTCACTGATGTAGCCTCTAATACAATGAATAAATCATTAGGCGTTCTGAACAGCAATGATGGCACAAACCCAGGAGACACAAGAAAGCAGATGCTTAACCTTCTTTGCACTAACAATGCAAACTCAGAGACTGGTAGATTAATTCAGTATTTCCATCACTTGTTTTCCTATGTGACTTTCTAATGCCACCATTTGCCAACCTCCAGGACAAAAATCAAGGAAGGGAGAACTATTGTGCTTGAGGTATGGATGTGTCATAATTTCTTACAAACAAAAGGGGCAGCAAGTTCATGGTCCCGGTAGCAGTTACAGCGCACTGTGGATATTACACAAATCACCACCACCACCAAAAAAAATATCTTAAACACTTGAGTTCTGCTTTTTAGAAGCTGCTTCTGCAGCCACGCTTTGCAGGTACCAGTAACCACATATCTAAGTAACTTGGTGATACGCCCAAGTTACTACTGCTTTCATTCTCCTTGCTCTGAAGCAGATTCAGCACAAAGAGCAGCTCAAACATCTAGAAATAAATGGCAACAGAAAGATCTTTGAATTCTGATTAGGAAGTCCTATTCTTTTCAATTATGCGTGGCTTCAAACAGATTTTATTTAAAAGGCTTGCTGCCCCTACATCTCATCATCCATTACAGCCACAAGCAGTAAGCAGCCCTGAGCACCTCATGGAAATACAAGGCGATGCAAGAAGGCAGCTGCTCTGCCGCCTTACTCCTGAGTCACGCCAATCCCCCTCTACGCTTGTTGCCATGTTGGTGCCAATCTTAAACACCCTGCCCTTAGCAAACCCTGGGCACCAGAAACCCGTGCTTTTCAAAGCACAGTGTTCATCCTGGAGCGTTGCTACTTCCACGGGCAGATGATGAAGGCTACAAAAGCACTGAAAGTTCATTTTGACGTGTATTTTAAGGTATTTTCACTGCCTCATGGAGACCCTGACTGCACAACCTGTAGCTATAGCAAATTCCAAATACCTTTCCTGGTATCTTCAGACAGGTTGAGGAAGAGCAAAGACTAAGAAAGTCCCTGTCCCTTCCTCATCCTGAATGATTTGTCTGTGATGAAAGGTATGTGTTTCAGCTGCCCTAAGCAACAGGCTTCTGAGGGACAGGGAATGTAAAACCACCCTGCAGGAATGTTAACATTTTCTTGACCTTGTAATTCCTATATAATACAATCTCTGGATTAAGGCTATCTCTTCCCTTGCAGTTAAAATCCTAAATTTTAAAACTCTTCCTAAGGGGAAGTTAATTTTAAGATTATGATTTCATATTCAAATATACCTCTTACAGACTAATTTAAAAGCTTTATGGGAGTATTGTGTGGCATGGCAGTGACAGCACCTTCTCCACATGCAAGCAGGTACCTGAGGAACAAGGTATGGCAAAATCCACACTCCGGAAAACTCAACAGCTCAGGAGCGAGTGCAGAACCATAAAGGATTACTGACCCTCTGGAAGTGGGAGATCCATCCAAGCTCAGTCAGAGCAGGGATCAAAGGCAGCACTGAGCACCCCTTGCAGAAGTTACATGTTTTGATGCCCCATAAACTTCTGCAGCTACAACACAGCTGGTCAGAGCCCACCTGTTAGCAAGTGAATCTCTGCCACCTTTCCTGCTACATGGAAATGATACCTACAAGAAAGGAAGTCTTTCAAAGGCAACACATGCATAGTGGCTTCTATTTAGAAAACAAAACATTCCCCCCCCAACCAAAACCCCTGAAAACCACACCCACAAAACCACCAACCAACTCACCAAAACAAAAACCAACAGGAGGCCAGTTTAAAAATACTGTCAGCACTCAGTTAAACTCCAGCCAGCCAAGAAACCAGACACTGTCCACAGCTCTTTTACTGTGCTCCTCTAACAGGAGTGCACAACTGTGGGAGAGGTGCCTTGGATAACTCCCCAGTATTCTAAATGCTTGGCTGTCTAGATGTGTTTCAAGCAAACCCAAAAGTAGCCGTGACTTCAAAGTGTTCAAGCAAACCCAACCCCAACCTTCACTTTGCTGAACAGACAGATGAAAAACACCATAAAGTAAATGCAGGAGCTGGGTGCTGAGCAGAAACGGGAAGTTGGGGAAAAAGTTGTTGGCACCGATGTCACACCTCACCTCCTGACATCCATCCCAGCCACCAATCCTTAGAGAGAAGCAGGAGATGAGCCAATTTGCTAAGACAAACTATCACAGCACCTGTGTCCAAAGGCAACAGGCTGCATTGGGAAATGATAAATAAAAGACTAAATTGATTTTAGAGAAGTCAAGAGAGACAAGCTAATCTCACTACCCAGGGAGATAACCAGTGACACACACACCAAGGCAACTTGGTGTCACTTAAACCAAAGTGCTGACTTCAGTGATGCTTCCCTTTTTGGCAAGGAGGGATTGAAGGGACTGAAGCAGACGCTTTCAGACTCCTCAGAGGTTGACAGGGTCCCTAAATTATGTAAATAAAAAGCAGAGAGGAGGGAAAGCGAAAGCAAATGCTGACTCCATTTCTCCGGGAAAAACAAAATTTCACAGAACTCTATGCCTAACTACTTGTTTCTACTCAAAGAGCTCATTGAAGAGCCCACGAAACTGAAACACGAAACAAAACAAAAATACTAACCTGAGAGTGCCTGAAAAAAACCTCATCGTTTTCACTTTCTTTGCTACAAAAAACAAGAACAAACCAACATATTACAAATACAAAACCAGACTTGTAACAAAAACCAGCAGGACTTTTGCACACAGAGGTTTACAGATTCTTGCTACTGCTGCACACTTGTTAGTCCAGTCAGTAAATGAAGGGACACTCTGGGCTGCAGCACTTCAGGCTGCTAAACTCTAACTATGTATTTTGCTTGCTCTCAGGAGCTATTTATGAAAAACAGTGTCATTCAATTTCAATGCCCTTAATCCAAACCAATACAAGCCTCCCAACAAACATAACTGTGGAGACAAATTGTCATCTGAGGTGAGCAGAGGCGGCTGTGCAGCTCTCACACAAGAGCAGAACACAAAGAAAAGGTCTGGATTCCCAACCCAGAGGCAAGGTGAGACAGGCTCTGCAGTCCCCTGTGTGGAGCACACTGGTTCAGGTGCCTCAGAGCTGACTGCTTTTCAAGTCTGCACCATCAGCATATTCAGTGCCATTCCCAACAGGTTGGGAGAAGAGTCTTGGTGGTGTATGGTGCCGGGCAGAGCCCACACAACATATGCCGTGCCTCTATACAGTTCTACTTTGAAATGAAGGATCTGCAGCACAGCTAAATGTCTGTGGTGGAAGATCTCTTAGGCTGTATTACAACACAGGGAAAGTAAAATATATGTGTATTAAAAAAATAAAATAAAATCACCTTTCTTCAGATAAAATTTCCATGTCATCAGGTCCATTTCTGTCTATAGGCCTGGATGAGCTAAAGTTTTCCATACTCTGTAATACAGTAAATGTTAAAGCAGTTAAGATACAGAAAAGATTCAAGCTGTGGGCCATTAAACAAATCAAATACAGAAATATCCACAGGACTTCTAGCAACAAGGAAACAATCCTGTTCTACTCCCTGCTGCACATTTATAACAAAACAAAACCCACACTTACTGCCTATAAACTGAAAAAAAGAAAACCCTGCTCACTGCTTTTTCCTCAAATGACCTCAAAATGCCTAACAGAGTAATACTGCATGGTACACCTCCAGTTTCCATTTTACAGATTGACAGACAGGCTGAGCTTGAGACCAGCTCTGTGGTGTGTACGAATCCTGTAAGAGCAGGTACCAAAATCCACAGCATCTTCCCAAGAGGACTCCTTATGCTTATCTTGGAAAATACCAGCCAAACCATCCCCTAGTTCCTTCTTAAACAGGCAGAAGAATGCAAAGACTGCCATATGCACAGAGGTCTTGCTAAGTTGTGCTGATATGAATGCAGAGCAAGAAATTCAGTTTGGCTTGGCTACCATTAGGAATATTAACGCTGTTGTCCTTCAAGAGCTTGAGAAAATACCATGAAGACAATCCATGTTGCCACTTTGGGCACATGTCCAGGAGGTTTTCCACCCTGGTTTTAGGGCAAGTCCCTCTTTAATAGGAGGAAGTCAGTCAGCAGAGTGGAGCGTTCCTGCCCCAGCCACACAAACTGCGTGCACAGCCTTCTTAGAGCAGTCACTGGCCTCTCTCACCTTGCTACACCTCCAGACCCATAAGGTGACACAGCTCAATAATTCCATCCTTGCATAATGTGCTTCTTCAAGTCCTACTGGTACCTGGCTACCGCATCTCTGAAATGCAGTTACAAGCTTTTAATGCTTTGTGGTTGGTTTGCTCCGGACAGTAAGCGGAACTGACAGTTTTTCCACCACTGACTTACGCTTCTGAGTCAGATGCAATTAGACAGCTAAGAGGAAAGCTTCCACTTACTGTCCTACATACTCTTTCAGGCTTTGAAAAGAAGGCAGGCTAAGAAAAAGGTGGGTAGAAAACAGAACATCACAAACTTGTTTACATGACGAAACCCTCTTAGTAAATGCTAGGGTGCAGGTTATGTCCTTTGATACTCCAGGCAGGTAGTCTAATTTGGATTATTATTTAAACTGTAAAGATGTAGCCAAAAGAAAGCTAAACACATCCTGCTGGCAGTCTCTGAAATGCAAGCATGAAATAAGCACACTCATGAAAACTTAAAAAGCAGCCTTTGCTCTTCAAAAAGAGTAGAACCGTGCTCTCTGCAAGCCGTTTTGTAACGATGCTCCCAGTTGACAATCCCACCGCGACACTTCCTCTAGCAAAGCAAGAGCCACACTGATGGTCATCACGGTCAAAGTGCTTCTCGTGCAAGGTTAGTCCATTTTATGTTCCTTTCAGCCTTTGCCCCTCAAGAGATCCAAAAATGACGGGCAGGGCGAAGTCCAGTGGACACAGCTAAGTTTGAGGACATTTCTTCTGGGCATGTTTTAGGACTTCAAGAATGTTTTCAGGTCCACAGCAAAAGTGGATGCTTCTGTCAGTCTTTACTTTCCCAAATCCTGAATCAGATTCTCATTTACATTTAAACTGCTTTATACTCCACAGGTACAGAGAAGAGGTGCAGAAAAGAGTGTAAACACTTGACCTTTGCCTATCTTAAAGTTCATTGCTACAGGCAAAATGAGCGTGGGTCTGTCTGTGCTGTTTCATGAAGTATCACATGAGAAGGTTACGGATATTAAGCACTAAAGCTAAGCACAGCCTGCAATTTTTGGCATCTTGCCTTCTTTTTATCACAAAGAGAGTCCAAATCTGCCTCTGTCTAGAATCTCTGCACAGGGAAAGAACATCAGATCAATGCAATTTTGTGACCTAAACAAGTCCCAACACCATGTCACATTAAGAAGGAACTCACAGCAGGCTCTTAAGTTATTCAAGTACAACTGAAGGAAATACCCTATAGCTTGGAGGGTCAGTCTTTTCACACAGCTTTCACTGTTACTAGTAATGGTGTAATGCATGCCTGGTGCCAGGCACTAGGATGCATATCCCTTCTGCCACTGTACTGTACTTCACTGCAGGGTCTGCTTACAGCTTCAACTGCTGACACTATGATCAGTGTCTGGTTTGGTTGAGAGGGAAGGAAGGTGCATCAGCTTGTAAAAGTTGGCAAACTGCCTTTTACTGTAAAGGTCCCACCAGAATATGCAAATTCTACAGTATTCCAGATTTTTTAGGACTTTGTGTCAGTGTCATCTACTTCCTCAGTAAAAGGTAGCTAGAGGGATCATCTTTTGGACCAAGACACTCCAAAGTGTTTTGCAAATTGCAACCGCCACAGTCACACACAGACTTTATGGAAAAGGCATAAAACACTTTTGTCATCTCATTATCAAGAAGTCACTTGCGATCTACAGTTTCAGAACTTAGCAGGAGTATAAAAATATACTTGATCTAAACATGTGAACCTACATCCGAGGTTCCAACCTCCTTTCAAGACTTCTGAAAGACTGGGAAGATACTCACTTCCCTTTTCTCCTTCCAAAATGCTCTGCTGAATTCAGAAGAAAAAAGCAAAAAGCTGTCGAAAAAGAAAATTACTATGGATGGAGTAAAAGGATCATAGCAGAAATACGGGTTCTCAGTTGCCTCAACACCAAGGTTACAACTGTGAGATCCAGTGGTCCCCATAGTCCAAAGTAGCCACTTATGCTTGTACTGTAGGCAAAAATGGCTACTCAAGGGAACCAGATGCTCTCTTTCCCACCCTAGTACCAGGTGTGAAATAGTCCAGAATGCTGGCTTACCACAGGACTGTCCTGGTTGTCATTAAGCTCTGAAAGCTTGGTGCTGGATTTCTGCCGTTTTGGTTTATTCCTTTCATTAAGGTATCCGGAGCTGTTGTCTTGTAATTTTTCTACTTCTTGAGAAGACAGAATACAGTCTTCAAGATTGCTGAATCCAGAGGGAATGTTTTCTTTGTTTACAACTTCCCTAAAAAGAAAAGGAACATTAGAACAAGAGGCTGTTTAAAACACTTTCCCGCTACATTCAGGATAGCAATAGAGAAATGCATCATGCTGACTGCTGCAGTTCCAGCAACATCTCCTACACCCTACAAAACCAGTATCTCTGGTTCTTCCTACTGCAGTGAACAACACACACTGCGCAATGCTAGATCCCACTGAGAAGTGAAAGCCAGGTGCATACACCTCAGGTGAGAAAGCTGTGAGGATCAACATTTAGGACTTGATTCATTCCCACTAAAGCCAATGCAGAGAATCCCATTGACTTCACATGGAAGCTGGTCTAGCTCCTGGCTGTCTGTGGTATTTTTATAGAGAATACGCAGCATATTTTCCTTTGAGACACGTGCTTTTAAATTTAGAAAAGTGATTCACTGCTGCGGTCCAAGGATCTCCTTTGGTGCCTGACACTGTATAATCAGTTCTTCTTACTCGTATTCTCAAATGCAAGAGCAGAACTGTGGTGCTTTAGCCAAACGCTTGACTCCTATTTGGGAATTACACAAAACAGAAGAGGGAATGCATCTCTGCTACAGCAACACACTTGCTAGGACAGAGGACTGTTTGCTATGCTGGGAAGTGAACAGGACAGCTAGCTTTATGCCATCCCGTGATGCGCTAGCTGGCACTCTGGGCTAGCAGGGTTTGTGCATGGTTTCCAGCAGCCTAGCGCGTGGCTTATCTTGCCCTGCACAATTAGCCTGCTGTGCCCTTCAGCACGCAGCTTTCCCTTCACACCTACTTTGTGCAATAATGAAGACGCACATACGTAACACATCACTACGTTATGGGAATGGGAGGAACACAGTGCACCTTATTCTTCACCGTCCTACCCTGCTGGAGGATACAGGCAGCCTGCCTACACTTGACACAAAGCTAGAATGTTTGCTAACTGTTGTATGTGTGGCTGTCTTACAGTGCTGTGTGACTGCAAAGCCTTTTATCAACAGCAGGAGAATTTCCCTAGACTTGCACTAGTGTGACAAGAAACTGGTTACTCTGCAGTATCTGGACAGTGTTTTGCTGATTTTCTAGATTGCAGATCTCTAGATTTTGTTGGTGGATGAGAGATACAAAGAAGTATTATAAATCTATGATCAAGCTTCTAAGATAACACATTTGCCTTTGTGGAAGTTTTTACAAACCCCTGAGCAGACCAATAACATATACATAGCTTGTAAAACATGATGTCTGCAAAGCCTGGGTCTTCACATATGTGTGTTTATCACAAAAAACACACTTCCTAGCTCAAGTCCCATCTTGTGACATTACAAATCCACTTGTGATCCATCACAAGGCAAGGAGATGAAGTCACTACCAATCAAAACAACAACAAAAAGAAGTTTTGAAGGGAATTCCCAGTTTTGATAATTCACCCGCAGTAGTTCTTGCAATCCCACCTAAGGGAACCAGAGGAAGCAATCTGAACCCCATCCAGCTTTCAAAACTTCCCATGTGCTTTAAATCCTTGGCTCCAGCATTATGGACCGAACCTGAACAACTGCGTCAACACTGTCTAGAGGCAGCTCTGTAACACAAAGTTGAAAAAAAGCCCTGCAGTACTATATGCTTTCAAACACGTACACTAGCCAGTCGTTGACCTACTTACCTGAGAAGCCTGTCAGCAGGGCTACTAAACAAGAAAAACGACTTCAGAGTTGCTGCCAGATACTTTGGTGACTTGCAAGTGCTGGTTTCCCAGTCCATCTTCACAGCGTATTTTCATTCACTATGGAAATGGCTTTTTATTTTCTAACTATGGATTTTTTCTTACAACAGTAGCACTGACACATTTTGGGAAATAGCATGGCTGCAATATTAACATGAGGTACTACAGGTTTTGCAACTGTATAAAAGTGGTTTTATATGGGGAGGTGGAGATCCAATAGATTTGGGGAATTCAGTACCCAGAAAAAAACAACTAGAGAGAAGATGTTTATTTTAGAAACTAACTTGAAATCCTAGCAATCCAATACCACAGTGAAGTATAAACACTCTTTACATGAACTAGTGCTGTACTAAAGCTAGACATATGTGTAAGCACTGATTAGATCATGGCCTTGCAAAGTCTGTAGTTACTGTTCCTCCAAGATAGCTAAGCCCTGGGCAAGTGTTTGTTAAGGCTGTGGTGGTAAAACCTTTGTACGACACAATATATGCCACAAACAGAGGAAAAGTGGGTATTATTTTTACTCTTTGACATTTATGAAACTCACCACTAAATCATGTTTAAACTTTGTGTAACAGTGTGAATAAAAAATCCTTCAATTCTGTTTTATCAAAAGGAAGATTTTTCTATTTTCAGAAGAAATCCCAGGGCTCCTCAATAAACCCAAACATCAGCTGTGCCTCCACATACAAAAGGAGAACTTGCTCTCATTTTTTAAGCATTCTGAATTCAGAAAAGCATCTAAACCAACGTTTTTATCTAAAGAAGGTTACAGGCAGTAGGGTCAACTGCTTGGGGATTTCCACTGAAGCAATAAATACTGTAATTAAACAATTCCAAATACTGTAATTAAGAACTCTGCTACACTGTGTAAAAAGCAAGGATTCTTATCATGCTTTGCCCCATTCCGTGACATCTAATAAACTCTACATTTCCCAGCTCTAACTGATGCAATGGAGCTCTGCACAGGCACTGCACTCTGCTCTGCACTTTCAGCTCAAGGCAAGGGCCAGTGCATTTCATAAAAAAACTAAGCATCGCCTTGATAAGAGGACACGACTAGGGTACGCTTAATCAAATATACTTTCCAAAACAAAGAAATCAGGCTCGTACATGTCTCTGTTTCTCCGGGCTTCCTCCTGCTCTTTGTGGTGTCGCCTCCTCTGCCTGGCAGACACATTAGAAGAGGCTGAAGATGTTCCCGATTCAGAGTCCTCTGAACTCTGGCCGCCTGAGCCATGAACATCAAAGAGATGCTGCTCCACGGCTGAGCGGATTGTCTTCTCTAAATACCTGTCAAGCCGAAAAATAAGGTCAATTGAGCTCAAAGACTTTGTGGAGCTCCCTCTCTGCAACAGTAAAGCAAGCAGGGGTATTTGAGGTTTATTTTTTACTACAATGGCGAAGCAGTATAGAATGTCCTAGGACTGTGACATCTGCAAGAGCTAAGGCAAAATCTACAGATACCCTAATGTTCAGGTTCCTCAGAAGAGCTGAGCCTTCCCAATTTATCTTGCTCTTTTTATTTCTGGAGATGTTTAAAGCTTCAGTAAACCAGCTAATTTCACTTACTGCAACTATAGTTATCAGTGCCTAACTTCCACCCTCCACGTTAACAGGCCTTCACCTGACAAAATTGTATTTGATACCCAGCCACGCTGACACCGGTCAAGCCTCTTGTGCAATACAAGCTCAGTAAGGCAAGATCATCTGCAAGAAGGTGATTCACTGCTGTCTCACAGGGGGATGAGAACACACAAACAGTACCTCACTACAAACTCCTCATGTGCTTAACTCTGCGACCAAGCACTGTTCCGTGTTCATGCTGTTTGCGCACTGTTCTTATGCCATGAGTGCACCCACAACCACCCTTACTTACTCTGGTGTGAGATCACCATCACACCCACTGGCAGTAAAAGGGCATCCACACAAGCCACAGCAAGGAAGCCTCTGCAGTTACATCAGTTAAAGGTGTGAGACTACTTGAACTTTCAACGCAACCAAATCACCTTCATTTTGGTACTGACATTTTCTTGTAATATTTCCTTCCTTCATCAGAGAATAACTTTATGGGCAAATTAACCTTTTTTTTTTTCTTTCTTTTGTGAAAAGGTCATTTGGAAACACATATTTGTACATGCCTGTCCCATCCCTGTTTCTTGCAAAGCTTTAAACAGTCTGCTGAAGAATGAGTTTTTCAAACACGCCTGTCCTAAGTCCATATACAGCTTCTAGGGCTTTTTCCATAATTAAAAAAAAGTTACTTGCCGGATTTGCTAGTTAATTTTCAACTGAGTAGCTATGAGTAGAGGAACCTGTACCTGGGCTGACTTCTCCAGAGAATTTACAAAAGCTGTTGCTAAGTTGATATAGCTGTAAGTCTGTTGAGACTGCAGTTCCTGAAAAAGTCAAAAGATCTTAGCAACTGCAAAAAAACACATGGTTTAACTTGGCAAGTATGTCTGTGTTTCGTGTATTGGCAAAAATCAGTTCTGCAAACCCAACAGCCACTGGGAATTTCCAGTTCTGGCAAGGGAGCCAACTCGTTAGCTCTGTTGCTCGCAGTCATGGTAGTGGGGTCAAGGCCCATTCTCTGCTGGGATGCAACAGGGCGTAAAGAAGAGCGAGAGGATAACACAGTGCGAATGGCTTCTCTAAATGTGCAACTGCTGCCTAACCGAAACATTGCAGGCACAGTTCGAGGAAGGAACCAAGGGCCTGAGAATTTTTCAGAGGGAAGTGATTTATTATCATTGCAAATGGTTTGGGAAACACTGTCCTTTTCCATTTGTGTAAGAACAACCCTTAAAGAGAAATCAAAGAATAACCAGCAATACTTTATAAAGCTCCAATATACAAAAAAGTAGCTACAAAATCGTAAAGAGTCACTTATAATGTTACTACTGACTTGTGATACATGGGCACTGTGTAAAAGAAAAAAAGAGGAGAAAGTTAGATCTAATTGTCACAGTAAGGTCTTAAACCTCCTTGTTCTTTGCAGCACTAAGATTTAAAGGTCTGAGCTGTCTCAACAACAATTGCATGTGCATGCCATAAGTTTTCCCCTTAAGGAATTTTTACTCCCATGGTGATGTGGCGCATTTTGACAATGCCAATATCCTCAAGAATTAATATCCCTGTCATTCCCTTGCAGTAGGCCAAGTCCTAATGGAAAGTATTTTAACCTCAGCATGTTGCAGATCTTTCTGCTTTCTTCTGAGCTTTCTGCTACTGCAGGTTGTTTTAGCCTCATCATCAGGCCTTGCCTTTTGAGTCTGACTTGAAAATGTATATGCTGCGAAAGGGGACTTAACATTTAAGAATCTTTAAATATTAAGGGAGGACAGACACAAAATACATGCTTTGCACAGTTCTCCTCCTGCCACTCTCTGATATTCACGTTCTTGGCTTCACATTTTAAAAAATAAAACGTATGGTCTCTTCTTTCCCTTTTCCCTCAGTCTGCTTTCATGCTCAGGAAGAGCCGACACTACTGTAGGCGTCACTGCTTGCTGTTTAAAGCCTTTCTGAAAGGGCTGACGTGCCATCTCACACAGCCATCACTGTTTTCCTCCCTCTGCCAAGCTGAGACCCATCCTGCTCCCTCTTTTCCCCCACACTGACCTGGCTCTGCAGGTAAGGTGACACTTTTTGCCTATTCATCCCTCTTGTGATTTTTCATTAAATGAAATCAATTACAGGCCTAGGGACTTCCTTTTGATTTATCCCCTATCAGCAGAGGAATTAGCAGTACAACCAGTTAATATAGCCCTATAAAATGGCCCTGTGTGGCCAGGGTACGAGCCAGGCTGGATGCAAGATGTGCTTCCTGCCAAAACAGCCATTCATGGCTGTCAGTCTTTGCCAGTTTCTCCCAAACCGTTTCAGTGCAGAAGAACCAACAACAGCAGACTTCCCTTTGCTAACCAAAGGCTTCCTCTCTGCTTCCCTCGAATATTTCACACTTCACTGTCTAGGTCTAAAGCTAGCTGAGAAGCTGTAGCCCTCTCAGATGATAAACACTCTGTGGCTTTCCTGGGACGGTGTCACTTTTATGGCGCTGAAGGCAGGTGACAGAGGGCAAGAAGGGTAAACAAGGGCCACTACAGCACGTTTAAGAAAACCAACAGAACAGACTACCTCGTGTAGTGAAGCACAAACCCCACAAATCCCCAGCTACAAATCAGACTTGCAATATGTGTCAGCTTCCTTTGCCTAAGCCAGCATGTTCACCTCAGAGTGGGTAAAGCTGCGTGCCCTAACCACACACATCCCTTCCAGTTCCAGCTTCACTCGGTGCTCATCTCGGGAACAGAGCCCTGGAGCAGTAGCATGCCATGAAAGCAGTCATGGATTTGCCAGTGTATCCCACATTACTTGCACACCACCTGAGCAGCCGTGTCATTCAGATGATTTCATGAACAGGAGACATATGAACAAGTATCACTGCACTTAATATTATGGACATGCAATTTATGCTCCACCAACCTTTTTTACACTGAGGAAGTTCACATCCAAAACAAACAGCGGAGGGGAGAGAACTACACGTGGCTTTAGGATTCAAGCCTGCCAAGGGACAGAGCAGGAGGTGCTCGAGTGTGTTAGCAAAACTCGGGGCAAGGCACAGCCCTGGAAGGATTTCACAGCCCAGAAGAACAACCAAGCAGGATGGGTGTATCCTGCAGGGTTTTCCAAACTTCTTGGGTGGCAGAAGTCGCTCTGCAGTTAGATTCATGCTTCAAGGAGCAGGCAAGCCAAGCCATGCCCGGAAGAGCCCTCTTGGCATGCCCCCTGTGCAGGCAGCTGCCTCAGCAAGCTGCCTTGTCCAGTAAATCACCAGACAATGGGAACTCCTGCTCTGCTTAATTATTTTCTCCTTGTGTCTGCTCCATTTCACTGATACGTATGGTCAATTATCTCCACAGCTAGGTTATCTTTATTAAATTACGCAGCTGCTGCAGAGCACGCTGAGAAACAGCGACTTTAGACAGAAATTAAAAGGTTCTCCTCAGGTGACAGAGCAGCAGGAGAGTTTACCAGTGCTGGGGACTTTTACTTTCAGAGAGCCAGCCACAAAGCCTGCACGGAGGCACACAGCTGTTTTAAGAGCTGTAAACTTTTGAACTGGCTCCTTATGACCCTCACACTTTTCCTTTTGGGAAGTCCGACCTCTAGCACTTCCCTGTGTTGTCTAACTTGTTTACCAAAGTCTTTCACTCATTTTCAGAGCTGCCTTATCAGCTCTGGATGATGTCTTGATTCGCACATAAGGTAAACTCTTTCTCCATGGCCTCTTCTCCTATTCCACTTCAACCTCAAGTATGGGAAGGTGGCATTTTCCATCACCTTTAAGCACATTAACTCTCCCCTGCCCCCCCTCATTAGTACTCTCTAGGTTTAAAATATATGCCCCAGAGTGAGAATTATTTCATGGAATATCTGCACCCTGTTTGGCCCTGCACTGGGCATTTTCTAACAGCAGAAAAATAACCAAGCTGGATATCAAACCCCCTCTCCTCTTTTTTTCATTCAGGGCACTATTGACCAAAATGTATTAGCATCCAGGTATTAAAAGAGCAAAGTAAAAACATCAACCAGAGCAAACTGGCTTACTAGCATCATATTTTCCCACATTGGGTTTTCATTTACGAAGTCAGTGAATTAATTCCTGACCATGCTTAACAGCCTAAATCATAAGCTATACTTGCAATCTGGAACAAAGGCCACTCATTGCTGAGATTTATTTACAACCTATCTGCTTTATTCAGGAAGCAAATTTATTTTCTCCCCTTGGGTTTTTTTTTGAGCCAAGCATAACAGTAAAAAAGTCTCAATAGATGCAAAACCTTTTTGTCGTTCCAGCAAAGTAGAGGATGTTTAAATGGCTTTGACATTTCAGATGAGAAATTTCTGAAATCCTCCCGAATATATTATTCCAACCCATGACCTAGGAAATTCCTTTTTCATGGGTATTTATATAGTCTAAACACAGCTCACTCTCCACAACTCTTGTGCTCTGCGACATGCAACACTGCAGCCTCACATGGGATCTATTTTAAGACAACTACTTCATTTGACACACATTCCTCAAAGAGAAGGATTATGTCTGCATATAAAACGTGACAATAAGAAGTTTAAAAATGAAGAGATGTGCCCTTAGTTACTGGGATGTCCCATCAGACAGAGGACACACTTTCAATGTTTTCTCTGCACCTTCACGCTCTGACAAGCCCAGATCCAACTATCCTTCCTTTAAACGTGGTACATTGTGCTTGACCCTACCACCCTACTGTGCAAAAAACTAATCCCACTGAAAGCAACTGTCTTGTTTTCTTCAGTATTCCTGCTGTTTTCCACTTGCACTGGGATCACCCTTCTTGATCGGTGCACAGTGACACCTACTGCTTGGAGCAGAGACAACTCCGAAAGGGATCCATAACCACCACTGGGTGAGTTTGGGTGGCTGTGTCTGTGCAGGTTCCTCCAGAGAGAAGGGAAATACCCGTTGAGGCGGCTCAGACCTGCACGGTAGCTGGACACTGTGAGTAGGGGCACCCAGCAGCCTGGGGTTTATTTTCAGCCAGTGCTGATGTGATGCAGGACATTAATGAGCATCACGCAAAGCAACCACGATCTGTAGAAGGGCCCAAAACTCCTGTGGGCCTTAGGACCTCTTACGGCACGCCCCACCGAGGAGGAAGCGGCCAGTGGGAAGGCGGCCAAGCAAATTTCTGAGCAGGCACAAAATCTAGAACCATTTCTTTTTAGTTTCTGCAGAAAATTGATCTGAGACCAGAATAAAACATCTTACCCGATATACTACAGGCTAAGAATACTTGAATTGCATTACGTAAGAAGAGTTGTCTCAAACAACAACTGTTAAAAGCAGGAACAGTCAGCTGTACTGAATACTGCCAACAGGATAGTAGTACTTCAAGAGAAAAGAAGTATCAAAACAGGTGAAACTGTCCAATACCTTGCCCTGCACTCATGGACAGTTTTTGGCACTGCTTGTGACGTCAGCTCTCATCCCAATTGCAGTTTAATGCTCTGCATGATAACAAGTAAGCTCCGCACTACAAAGCTTTTGGGTTTTTTTCCCCTGTAATATCACTCAGGTTTATCTCAGGGTGTACTCATCAGGAAAATCCTCTGAAACCATCTACGTGACGAATGTCAAATCTAAAGCATATACGCTGGCATGAGTGACATCCGTAGATTCCGTCTTCTAAAAGCTCATTGCACATGTTGAGTAAAAGTGTGCTTACAGGGAATTGCTGTTGCCAGATGCTGCTTCATTACCTGAAACCGCACACTGTTTCTCAGTACTGATTACTCAGAGCAGCTGGCATTCAGTCTTATTACAGAATTGTACAAGGAGCAGCGCTACACATTTTTTAACACAATCTCAACTCCCTTTACCACAAGGTTTCGGAACATAAATGCCCTTCAGGCATGACTCCCTGGAACAATCAAGGTTTTCCTCTTCTTTTAACAGTGCCGAAATCTCCTTGCCTGGTATCGCACACAGCTAAGCCAACACATTATCTTACCAAGGAGTAAACAGTGGAAGAGGAAAACCCTGGTCAGCAGCAGGTAAATGGATTCAAACCCCAGATCTCAAACTTGGGTCAAGCCCACCTCATCCTTGCAATGCCCAACAAAAGAGGGCTGCAGCTACAAAATTTCTAATTCTATGCCCGAATTTATTCATAGTGTGTTTGTAGACATTTGCTCTTGCATCAGTATTGTTACTTAACATAAACAGTTCTTCCCCTCTGTTTAAAACCCAGAGGGAATATGAGTACTTTGGTTCATTACTTATGGTAAATAAGCCTTCCCTGCTCCTTTATCATCTTCTTACTGTGTTTGCCCACTTTTTAAATCATCTTTGCAAATCTAATGCCATTAGAACATGAGTTACTGAAACTGTATGAGGCCTCATCCATACCTCCTCTAAATATACTGAAAATATGATCAGAGGGCTGGAGCACCTCTCCTATGACGAAAGGCTGCGAGAATTGGGCTTGTTCAGCCTGGAGAAGAGGAGGCTCCGAGGAGACCTCATTGCAGCTTTCCAGTATCTGAAGGGGGCCTACAAGGGTACTGGGAGAGGACTTTTTACAAGAGCCTGTAGTGATAGGACAAGGGGTAATGGGTATAAATTGAAATCAGGGAGGTTTAGATTAGATATCAGGAAGAAGTTCTTCACAGAGAGGGTGGTGAGGCACTGGAACAGGTTGCCCAGAGATGTCGTGGATGCCCCATCCCTGGATGTCTTCTAGGCCAGGCTGGATGAGGCTTTGAGCGACCTGGTCTAGTGCAAGGTGTCCCTGCCCACGGCAGGGGGGGTGGAACTAGATGATCTTTAAGGTCCCTTCCAACCCAAACCATTCTATGATTCTATGATTCTATGTGATCACTTCAACTTGAATATTTTCATCCCATGCCTTCCTTCCATCCCTTCACAAACAAGCATGCCCATGTCCTTTTCTTCCCAGGCATTTCCAAATGTGAGTAACCCCCATTTCATGTCATGGATTTTCATTATTAGTCATGACATATGACTTCATTACCTATCTTATTATATTTCATCCTATATTATACATTTCAGGCTTATCATTATATATGGATATATATCTATCTCAATCATATCTAACTGTCATATATTTTCTCCCAGAGGACATCCCCATCCCATTCACCCCTAAGCATCCTAAGTTTCTGCTATAACCTCAATTCATGAGCATGATTCTATTTTATTATGCCAGTGGATATTAAATGAAAAAAGTCCATGACACTTAAGGAGCTTCACTGCACTAGCAATCTCCTTCCTCTCCTACCACCAATACCTATAGGTTTCACCCCTTCCCTACCCATCTTAAGCTCTAGTACTAATGCCCATTTTCTCCATACAGATGGCATGATATAAAGCATTTTGCTGAGATAAGGTAGGTTAACTATGCTCCTTTTCTTCCTCGCTCTGGAAAGTGTTATAAAAAAAATTTTGGTTGTATCAGTACCACATCTCTTGACAAACCTGTCACATTTTGCCTCATTTACCACTTACTCTCGTACTGTTAATGACCGCTTATTCCCTTAAAGAGCAGCAGTGGTGATTAATTTTATACTTGGTCATGATTTTCCCAACGTCTAAAGAAAAAAAACCCAAAAACCAAATCCACAACCCTAAATCAGTGCCTTTTTAAGAAACAGCGTTTTGGTGACATATTGATAGTTCTAAGTTAAGACCTCAAGCATTTGCCTTACTGTTAAAAATAACATCCAGGGAAACAGCTCCATTGCTAGCTGACATGGTAAAGCACTGAAGAATCAAGTTTCTGGTTTGTTCCT